AAATATGAAATTGGATAGGATACAAGCAAGTTTTGTATGGTGGACCATTAGATCACGAATGTTTGGCATAAGTACAAATTTCATGTATAAGTAGTCGATCAAGCTCCTATAAACTCTTTAGTTTATAGGTTTCTAGTAATTTTACGAATTGCATGAGATTGAATTATACCTTAGCTCGTATATGATGTAGGACGTATATAGCCATGGTTATTTTTCTAAAAGAGCAAATTGCGTTACTTAACTAATTATTCATATAGACGATATACTCCGTAGTAGTTTGTGGCATTACTTCGGAAATTGACATGAATAATTCCTTAAGAAAAGCACATGTAGATTTAAATCAAGTTTATTATTATTATTATTATTATTATTATTATTATTAACACAATTTATTACGGCTCACAAATCAAATCGGTCAAAGCAAGAAAAAGACATGTGACACCCATACACAAACCACATAAACATGAAAGAGTTTATACTGCCAAATGACAAGTGAGCAAATATACTGGAAGAGAGGAGGCAAAAGATCACTGTACAGAAAAACTGTCTGGTAAAGCACAAGAAAGCAGTATATATTCATCATCAACTTCTTTAATAAATTAATACGGAGTGTATAACTCCATCATATAATTTTAATATGCTACTGTTATAACTCTTTATGGTCCTACCAACCCCCACCAAAATTTATACAACTAGCTAAATTGTAAAACAAAAATTCTCGCTAACCAGCGTCTCAGGACCTTAGATAACAATTTAAAATATTTCTTAAAATTCAATTTAATAGCCTTATTTTGACTTTGTACAGTCTTTTAGATGTTCTTTTGACCATCAATATATTTAATTATATCTAATAAAAATTATAAAAATTTAGGATGTATTCTATTCACCTGATTTTCACTTATCTGAATTTATCATATCTTATCTGACCTTATTAAAACTTATTTTAGTTGTAATTTGTATTTAGATAACCCTTATCAAAACTTATCTGACATCTCTAGAAACGGAGATTATTAAATTGAAACGAGAGAAGTGTTAATAATGAAATACATGTTAAAATCATACATCGATCGGTAAACATGTTATTTTTTTAGTTTTAGCTTTCTTATTTGACGTCTCTAGAGTGTTAGTTGGCTTTTGTCAAATTATAAAATCAAAATAAAATAGAATAAACTAAAACTCCTAAATTTGAAGTGAAAACAAACAAACAAACAAGATGCATGTACCAAACAGCAATAGCTAAAAAAAAAGCTGCTTTTCCCAATACCCATAGATTCCACCTCCCATTGATTTTAATAATTAACTCCATTCTTTTTATGTACCCAAATCATTCAATTCTCCACTTTTTTATTTTTATTTTATTTTAGTACACAACAACTAGTTTAACCAATTATTTTTCCCAATTATTCACTTTTGGTCCCACCCTTTTTTTAATTATAATTTTATATTATTTGAGGTCAGTCCACCATATTACGCAGCATTATTTTCTTTATATATAACATGACATTAGTGCCCATTTTTTCTTACTTCTCTTTTTCTCCTTTAATCACTTTTCTTAAGCTACCTGCTTTAATTTTCCTTGAAAAAAATGGCTTCTTTTGGTAAACCAAGATTTTCAAATTCAAGAGTTGCATTTTATGCAGGAAGTGAAGATTTCTTCAATCATCAACAACCTCATTTCCTTGATTCTTGCTTTTTCTGCAACAAACAACTTAAACCCAATCATGACATCTTTATGTACAGGTAAATTAATAACCCATATATCTTTTTATTGTCTTGTCATGTCGTGTTTGTGTTCGTGTTTTGTTATGGATTGGTTTCTGATCGATGTGGATATTTTGTGTTATGCAGGGGAAATACACCATTTTGTAGTGATGAATGCAGACAAGAACAAATAGAGATAGATGAAGCAAAAGAAAGACCTTGGAATAGAAGAACCCTAAGAAAAGCAGATACACCAACAAAATCTGGGTCTAAAAAAGCTGTTAGAACAGGAGTTGCTGTGGCCTGAATGTTATCAGAATTATCAGATCATAGTATATACATAAAATCTCCTCAAATCTTGCTATCTTTTTTACTTTTTTTCCCTTGATTTTTTGCCCAATAATTTGGGAAATATTTCATGCAGTGACTAAAAGTTTTAGGAAATTAGATTTTAGAAATAATTACCAAAAAAAAAAAATCCCAGATTTTTGGTGTGATCTGCTAGAAATATGTGAAGGGAATTACATCACTACTCCCACAAAGTGGGGAAAAAAGTGTATGTATGACATAATCTAGGGAAAAAGATCAAGAAGCAAGTTATGATGGAGGACAATTTTGTCTTCTGATTTATTTTCCTTTTTTTTTCTTTTTGATTTTGGGTGTGGGAGTTGTGAATGATGTTTTTGATCAGTTTGATGGAATGCTCTTGACTATTATGATCTTCTTTTTACTTTCTTTCGTATTTTTTTTATCTTTCTAACTACGCATAAATACAGAATAATTAGCAAAATTGGATCTTTATACCCGTATTTGTATTCCTATGACGTGTGTTTTGTATAGAACACAATTGATTGTCGAAAGTTAACAATTTTACGTAACAATAGAATGATTGAACATGTTGTATACGAATACGACGAAATAATACACGAGTACATGAGCTATATACATACAAAAGCCATAAGTCTACAATTATTATTATTTCATGTATTATGGCATAAGCCGCCAACAATATGAGCATGGACAACTCACAACTCTCTTATTGAGGAAAGTGATTTGAGAGGAATAATAAAAGTTTGATGATGCAAGGACAAAATAAAGTTTTTGTTACTTGATCCAAGAACTGAAATAAAGTGAAAAAAATTAGAGTACAAAAATGGAAATTGATATTAGCACACCTTTAATTGATAGGGGCACATCATCATGTGATAAGAGTAAAAAAAAAAAGAAAAAAAAGTTTACTCTCACATAATTAAGGGTGCCAAAATCATTTCCCTACAAAAACATGAATATGTTAAAGAGCAAGGTTATGTTGTAAGGATTGTGGAATGGGACAATAGACAGATTTTGAGCCACACATATCAATGATCCACTAACTCATGTCTCATATCATAATTTGGGATTTGTTTCAAGTTTTTCACTAATAATTAATAAGGCAAATTAGTGAAACAATATATTCTAATATTCTCATAATTTAGATCTTTAGTTCACTTTAATAAGTTTTTTTTTTTTTTTTTTTTTGGTTTGAATTCAATAAGGTTTATCATTCCTATATTGGCCTTCCATCATGATCTTGGGTAAGTGTTATACAACGTTTAATCATTGTCATAATCACCCTAGAAATAAGAACACTGATAATAATGACATTCATTAACAGAGATTATGAAAGGAATTATTAAACAATATATAAAGGGTGTTCTAGATCTTTATACTGCAAATGAACTTTTTTTTCAAGGGTTATTGAAAATGGACTAGATCATAGCTAAACTAACTTATTTGGGGTAGTGTAAATTAGGGGGATTATATTAAATTGGGTATGTCTTATCAATGATGTTTTAGTGAAAAAAACATCCATACAAACATACTTAAGAATTAGATTATCGATCTTCCGTATCTATAAAGTAATATAATAGTTCGTATATGGCATGTTTTCACAATAAAATTAATAATAACATGAGAATTGATAGTTAGTGATGTTTATGAATGTAATTATATTATTGAAGATAAGAAAATGAAATCTCTTCTTGCTTAATTAACGATTCTACATGATAAATCTAGAAATATTATAAATGATGTACATGTCAAATATCCATCATCTTAAGGTCCCTTGTCACATTTTTGCATATTTCAACCATAAAATCATTTAAAGTTTGCTCTTTAGCATCGCATGAAAGAAAAAAGCGAACCCTTAGCACATTTAATTTAAGGAAAAAGTTCTAACACGTCCAACATGAAAAACTATACAAGTGTAGTGATTTGAAAAACTAAGGATATATCATTTTTGTTTGTAAATTAAAGGAAATTAAATACATAGTATAAGTTCTTAAATTGGAATCATTAAATAGAATAAAAAAGTTCTCATAAACATACTTTTAATTAAATAAACTTAGCACTAGTTCAATCAATGAGTAACAAATCATTATTGCAAGATCGACTTGCAAAATGTACTGTAAGTACTTGGATTGGGGGAACTATGAAATAAAAAAGTGTAACTAAAAGTACATTCTTAATTGATTGTGATTATTGGTTTGGTGATAACTTTGGTTGCGTACCATCAAATTACAACATAAAATCCATTAGTTAGGTTCTATATTTTACATAAAATCACAAATTTGGACATGTAGCTTAAAGCAGACCGTAAGATTAACTCAATATATACACCACTCACAATTTAGATCAATACTTAATCACGTATGTGGTAACACTTTCTCTTTGCTAGCAAGGAATTAACAGATTTCTTATTTGGGGGGGGGGGGGTGGTAATTATGTTAATCCATTAGCACCTTTCAATGTATATCAAATTTGGAAAAGTCATCGCTCTTTAAAGATTTTTCCTTACATATGAATTCTTTGTAACGATAAAATATACATTAGATGTTTTGGGTCTTATGGAATTGTTGGCCTTGTGGCTTTAATACGCTAGTTAAAGTCTTAAAGATGGTTGTGGGTCATGTCCCATACCAATGCTTCAAAATTAGCCAGGCCCAATCAATGAGCTACATGCCATGACAAAAATTTCAAAAGGTCAGCTCATACACAACCTAAGTCCAAGCCCACGTGACACCATGCTGAGCCGTGTTGTGCCTTAGCCAAATTTCATTGCTTTTACTATACTTAGTTATGCCTCTCCCAAATAAAGACGGCTCAACCCCAATGCGCACAGTAACGTGCCCGTGCCGTGCTTTTCTTGTGCCGGGCCGAGTGGCCGACCCAGCTAGTGAACAAATCACACAGAATGACCCAAGGAGTCCATAGGCCCATATCTCACTCCCTCTCGACATTTCTAGAAACAAAAAATAAATCAATTTCACATTGACATTTCCCCTATTTCAATTTCGCAACCTACACCAATCTCTCTCCTCCGCAAACTAGGGTTTTCAGATCATTGTCTTCGACAAAAATGGGGAAGATTCCGGTGAAGATGAGGGCGGTGCAATACGCTTTGTCGCCGTACCAGCAGAAGGTGATGCCCGGATTATGGAAAGATCTGCCCGGAAAATTGACTCACAAGGTGACGGAGAATTGGATTAGCACCACTCTTTTGCTCGGACCTCTCGTCGGAGTTTACTCCTATGTTAATTGGTACCAGGAGAAGGAGAAATTGGAGCATCGCTATTAGGTTTTGTTTCCAGATCCTTCTTTTTTCTTCTATCTCCTGAGTTGAATGTTTCTAAGCTCAGATCTTTGATTTTTGTTTTGAGGGAAATTTGTAGAAGTTTTTCTACTCTTGGATTTATGATGGTTTTGATGTGGATTTTGAAAAAATTTCACTGGTATTGAACAAAGTTGAAATAAGTTTGATGAATTTGTTATTATTATTCGGTTGATTTAGCTTTGATTGTGTTGGTTTTTTGTGATGTTATATTTTTGAATGGGTGATATGAAGCTGTAGTATCTGATTGTTGAGTTTGTGTTTTGATTGTTGAATTTTGAGATTTTGAGAAGAGTTGCTTGGTTGTCTGATAGTCTTATGTTGTATGCTGTAAAATGCTGCATATGTGATTTTGTCGAAAGGTCGTCTTGTTCAGTGTAGCGGTGATCTTATGGAAACTCTAAAGCTGCAAAATTCCCTTGGTAAACTACTGGACTTGAGTTATTGGAGCTGGATTAGATGCTAATGTTAATGTTTCCTCCATACTTAGATGTTTTAGCCTAATATAGTTGAGGGGATTATCGAGGGGGAATTCCTCCCCCCCCCCCCCCCCCCCCCCGGAATTAGTTAATTTAATTATACCAAATTCTGATGATAGTGAAGCAGAATTCGCTTATAGCTGAGATAAAGCATAGTTTCATAGATTTTGCTACATTTACTCGATTTTCAGTGATCCACCATTGTAATATTCTGTAACTTGGTGATTCGGTGAACAGAAGCTTGGTTACTAGTAGTGGAGCTAGGAGAGTGTAATAATTTATTTCCACTGTAAAAGTGTAATTTAGTGGATATAATTTTTGACTAAAGTATGATTTCTTCACAGCCACCTGGAGTTATAATTATTTTTGCATATTTAGATGGCAAAGCTTTCTATTTTTGCATTTTTGTGAGTTTCTTGGGAACTTGGAATATTACTGGAGGGAAGACCTTTTTTAGGTGCCCTGTGGTACTGGCACAAATATAGAAAGCTAAGAAGAGATGGTATTGACTAAGTAGCATGAAAGAAAACCTTACCTTACCTTCTATTATGTGCCAATCGCTTGTTAAGTGAGTTGTTAGCGCCTTATCAAGGATGTTAATAAGTGCTTGATGAAGCATATGTACCAGCGTAAAATGCCAATTTATTCATCTACTTAGGAAATGTCAAACCTCCTCACATCTTATGTTTAGAAGCTTTTCCTCTACACAAATGGCTCAGATTTATGGTTGTTTTTAAGTTGGTAGGTGTTTTGCCAATGATTTGGTGCTTCTTATGGTTGTCAGGTGGGTGATTGTCCTTTATCAAGGATAAACCAAAAAGAATCACACTAGTTGTTTAAAGAATTTCATGCATGTCGTTTTTGTGATAACTTTGTCAACTTTGAACCCTACTGCCTTGAAAGCTCTGTAAAATTAACAAAATCCAGCCGGAATATTTTTTTTTCATTGTATGGAAAAAAATGTGTACAGCAACAATCAATGCTTGGGGGGCATGTCTGGTGTCCCATTAGAAACCTAGTCTAGAATTAGATTGAACATTAGACTGGTTAGAAATTTGGAGTAGGGGCATGTCTGCCTGTCTAGTGTCTTCATTAAGAGCCTAGTCTAGAATTAGATTGAACATAATCTTGCACGTGTTTGCAGGTATTATGATGTGATGAGAGTGTGGATTGAAGAGACACCTCCTAGTATCTCTAATGCTGTACTTAATATTTCAAGCCTTTAAATAAATAAATAAATGAGATGCTTTCTGTCAAAAAAAAAAAAAAAAAAAAAAAGTATTGAACATCAGAGTGGTTAGAAATTTGGAGTAAATAGATAGATTACATAGATTGCAATTTTACTTCTGCAAGCCTATATATACAAGTTTACAATAAGTTATGGTGTTTGAAGTTAAGACACCAAATTATGTATTCACCAATAGAGTGGAACATGTTACAGGCCAATGCTCACTCTTATCTCGAAAAGTCTACTTTTATGTATGCAGTAAACAAATTATGTTATTTGACTTGCTATAGATTTTCTGATAGCTTCCATTCAAATTCGATTTTCTAAATTGTTTATATGCTTTCAGTTGGAACAATAAAATGTGAGGTTGATTGGTGTAACATAAAATTTTAACTCGCTTCCCTTGATCCTTTCCCTCTTGATTGCTGCTCCTCTGTTTAAGTCTACAAATTTTGTAGCATTTGAACTTTACTCTTCTGAATTTCGGATCTTTCACGTGATTGTATTCTGAGATGGTTAGAAAACTTAGACTCAAGGAATGTGAGAATGTCTTGTATTACTCTTTGTACTGCTTCCTAGTCCATAATCTGTGTAGCTCTTTTTTTTTTTTTTTTTTGAGTAAGTCCAGGTCCTACGCTGCAGGTTATCCCGAGGTTACTAGTTTACTACCCTAGTAGGCATCACTGCCTGTATTCATGGACTTCATGGTAATCATTATAGAGTTATAGATTGTTTGTCTGTTTGTTGGTCTGCAGTTCGACCTTTTTTTTTTTTTTTTTTTTGCGTGGAGGTGTGGGGGTGGGGGGTGGGGGGTGGGGGGGGGGTGGTGGTGGTGGTAGGGTTGAGGTGGTGTGAGGATTCATCTGTGATTTTCTGTTTGGTCCTAATTACAGGTTGTATTTAGTTCCCCAATGGTCCAATCTATTTGCGTCTCATCTCTCGTTTCAGAGACATTGGGGGTCCATACATTACTCATGCAGTTGTGTTTTGCTATATCTTTAGGACTCGTATTGTGAACTCCTAGATTAAAAGTGACATAGTGTACCCTTGACATCAAACTCCCTACTTTGCTGTTGTGGCAGTAATACTAATTTTACAGGTTTCTTCTGAAAACACATTTTGGGTTTTTCTTCTGAATGTCAATCCATTCATCCATGTAGAGAATTCAATTGCAGCAGGTGAGAGAGAGTTGGGCAAAGCTCAAAGCTCCCCATTATATGATTTTGAGGTTATATGTTTCCATCTACTCGTATTTCATTTGACTTAGTCCTCCAAATGAATGGGTTCTCCTCGTATGGTTTAAGACTGACCATTAATTCGTATCCAAAGTCCTTGTATCCGAGAAAAATTGCGGGATTGCTTCAGATGATGTTTTTCTTGCCTGCACCTGAAGAAAGTTAGAACTAAAGTCTATTAATCATGACTAATATTAGCATCTTTTTGTCAACCCGTTAAATTGGAAACTCGGTCAAATAATCCTAATTTGACCGAGCAACATGACATAAAGGACCTATGTCAACAAAGTCATTCTAGATGTATACATTTGGATTAACATCAACCTTGCATAAGTATTGGCGTAGGAAGTCAGATGCTAATGTTGAACCCCTTTGTTCCTTGTCTAATTCGATTGAACACGAATGATTTTGACACACGAATTTTTATATTATCTGCCATGGCTTGGCTTCTTCGATGTTATAGTTAATCGACTATTTCAAATGCAAGGTATCAGCTTGATGTAAATAAGAGAGATCTGTACTGTACTGGTATACGAGGTTAACCAAGATGACAATCAAATCCTGTAGAGTAGATTTTACAATCCTTATATAAATCTGTATCCAAGTTGGCTTCTGAAATTGCATACTTAGATTAGCAGGCAAAACCGCATTAACAAATTATACTAATGATGCCGCAAGTTTTTGATTTCATCTATCAAACTTGTCAACTAGTAGTACTAATTACTCCCTTCCAATGTAGGGAAGGTGAACTATTTCGAACATTTCAATATTGATTTTTCGTCAATAATTCTCTGATTTGCTGATTTTATTTATGTATTATAATACTTCTTCCGTTCTTTTTTACTTCGACCCGCTTTGATTTTTACTCTATTCATGATCTTCCTTTGACCGTTTTTTGTGAATAATATGTAATGAAAAACATATTTATGTGGGATCTTTTTTAATTCGTCTCAATAAGTACTATCATAATATATAACTTTTATAATTTTTATTTATGGAGAATTAAAGTTACCGATCGTTAAAGTTTTGCATTAGCAAGCGTGATAAAAGAAACAGATCAAGTAAAAAGTAATTTGAAATAAAAATGCCATAAAACGCTAAGTGGTACCACGTTTCATCCCACATCACCTCTATATTTTACACGCCATTCTATCTTGTTAAATAATCGTCTCACACAAGAATTACTCTACGCAAAAACATTTCAAAACTCACGATTTTCATTTATGCTTATGTTATTCATCTTTCCATAATTTAAAGCTTAAGAACCTTAAGCTTTAATCGATTCACGAGTCTTTCCTTTAACAGCAGGATTTACATGGATAGGTTTCAGGATAATGATCCTCTAAATTTTTAGCACTTTAGCACTTTCTGAAACTTTAGGCTTCTCACATTAGCTCCTGGCCTCCTGTTGATTCCAAAAGTTAGTTTCTCCCTAGGAGATGCATTCATGAGACCTTAGCTCTCTGCATGATCATAAATCTTCTCTTACCAACACCTTCAACCTGCTCACCAAGCTTCGCGAGGTGAGCAAACCGTCTTCTAGCAGATTCTGAAACCCCTACGTCTTTCCCCTTCTCTGGCTCACCTGCTTCATTCTCAACAGGACTGCTACCCTTCTTGTCAGGGCTTCCACCATCTGTTGCTGTCTTCATTATTTCCTTCAACTTCTCAACCACCACACTCATATCTGGCCGCTCCTTATAACTCTTCACTAAACAACTTTCTGCTACTTTTGCAATTTTTCGAGCTGCACTTAAAGAATACTGGTCCTCCAAACGCGGATCTATTATTGAGCTGAACTTTTTACCTTCAATAGGAAATTGTTTCACCCAGCTCAACAATTGTTGCTCAGGCTTTGGAAGGCTTCTTTCTAATGATCGTCTTCCAGTTAGAATCTCATACAATACAATACCAAAACTCCATACATCGCTCTTTGATGAGAGATGCCCTGTTTCTATGTAGTCAGGAGCAGCATAGCCATGTGTGCCAACCACCTAAACATAAGAAACAAACCAGCAAGGTCACTAGAATTCAACATAGCAAATCATTTGTTAAAATTGATTGCTCCCAACTTATACTTCATAGTGTATTTGGTTAAAAGAGATCAGTGTTATTCCAGAAATTATACCGTGGTACAAATAAAGATTCCATGTTAGATTTGCAAATTAGCCATTTGGGCAAGGTTATCACAATTAAAATTTAGATATTTTGGTATTCTGTTCCCTTTGTTGCAATTGGTTTGCCATCTTATTCTCTAGATAGCAACCTTTTAAATTATATGTTCATAGCAATCTGACCTTCTAGACTAAGCTTAAGTTACTCAAACTATTGTGAAAGGGGGGTTTTGACCACAAATTATTTTTGAATATGATTAAGCTGCATTTAGTCTTCCATACTTACAGCTGTTGAAACATGACTACTTCCTGGAGTTGGACCTTCCCTAGCTAGCCCAAAGTCTGACAGCTTCGCTTGGAAATTCTCATCCAATAGTACATTTGAAGTCTTGAAATCACGAAATATCACCTTCATCACAAACATCAAAAGTCAAATGTCAAATGTCAAATGTCAAATGTCAAATGTAAATCAGCTAATATTTTAAGATCTAAAGCTTTCACTTTACTAATCGGTAATACAGACACAGTAGTATCACGATTCAAATAGAATACTAGACAGGACATAAGCAAAATAATCGGACTTCATGCAAGACTAATGGGCTTCCTATGTGGTAACCCTCTTTAATATGTATTGATCAATCTTTCTTGTTCCTTGTTAATTGTAAGATTAACCTTACAACAAGTCTGTCAGCTTATAGGCTAGCAGTATTTCAAGGAGTAGGGCAGCATAACCTTGAAAATGATTCACCCCCTCGGTTCTCAAACTTACAGAAATTAAAAAGATTATGACCAAATTAAGTAGGCTATATTAGTACACAGAGCACGATATTTCAGAAATATGGTCATAGAAACTTAAATCTTCTGGCATCTAGGAATAAGAACTACTTAGTTCCCCTGCTAGCCAAAAAATCACATAAAAAACCTGTATCGCAGACTAAGTCTTGACTCTTAAATATATCTGCCTACAGATCCTCTGAACATTCACATATTCGCTAAGAAGTACCAAGCACCCCCCCCCCCCTCCCCAACGGAGTAAAACATAAGCTTTGTAGACAAATACATTGCGTTTCTAAGGTTTCTTAGTGCATGAGAACACAAAAAAATGAGATACTACTCCATACTAGCATATTGAGATAAACATAAAAAATTCACAAGTCTAAGAAGGCAGATTATGAATTATTTATTCCAAATGCAACTAATGTCACACCTGTACTTCTAGTTCTTCATGTAAATAAGCCAATCCTTGAGCAGCCCCAATGATAATCTGCATTCTTTTTTCCCAAGGAAGATGTGGGTATGTCTTCTTAAAAAGGTGATCTTCCAAACTTTTGTTAGGCATGTACTCATAAACGAGCAATCTCTGTATCCCTCTCTCTCCATCCACAGCGCAGTATCCTATGAGCTTGACAAGATTAGGGTGTTCCACAACACCAAGAAACTGAACTTCTGCCAGCCATTGTTTATGACCCTACAAAAAAATGAATTTATATAACCCGCATAGAAAAAATATAAACAAGTACGATAATTTGCAACATTTGGAAATGTAAAAAAGGGAAGTGTTGACAAAGTCCACAAAGTTATGATCAAAATCAAATTTAGATATAGCTCTAAGTAATGTTCATTATATTAAACATCTCTTTCCTACATAGACAAAGTAAGCTGCTCAACAACAATGAGTAATTGAATTGGAGAAGATAAATTTACAGCAATTTTCTTAACATAATCAACTAAAAGCAACTGCAGAGCTTGCAATATAGCGGCTCAGAGCTTCCAGCTTGCCCAGGGATCATAGACTATGTTGTATTCACCTGGAAACACCTGAATACTCCTAAAAACTCCTGGACTTATTTGATCTGAAAATAATCACCCTCGTTTTTTTAAAATCCAATAATTGATCTTACTAGACCCTATCTTAACCAATGTAAAATTAATTATCAGCAGCTTAGGATTAGAATTTTGGGGTAGAGGTCATCAAGCATGTATCATCAGGAAAAGACTGTCATAGGCATTCAACCACGATTCAGAATTATCAGACCTTTGTTGCCTGCCTATAAGAATATCATCTACTAACTATAAATCAAAGAAAAGAACAATAAAATAGGTAGATAAATGGACTGTCATTGGAGCAACACAGTTGCTGATCACAAGTGATCATTGATTCGAATGCTTCCTATCACTCGCCGCAAACATAAGACTCGAAGCATAACTATTCTAGCACCCCCTCTCCCTAACCCAAATCACAACAAAGGCATTTCTAACACTGTTCATCATATATAACAGACAAGCTCATAAAAACACAATAATGCACAAACATAAACCAGTACAGTTCTAAAATTTGGACCACTTCAATACGAAGTACTTTATAAAATTCATAAAATTTACACATATATACCTGAAAACCATCTTTATTTAGCTTCTTTACAGCAACCAATATAGGATCACCTTGCCCATCAACAGGCTTAATCTTCCCTTGATAAACACAACCAAACCCACCTTCACCAATCTTCAGCTTCCTGTTAAAATCATTAGTAGCAATTCTAAGCTCCGACCATGAAAAAACCCTTAAATTGGGAGATTTTTCTTCATACAAATCAGAAATCCCACGTCGAAAAATCTCCGACCCTGTAGATTTCATCACTCCACTACCAGAATCAGTGCCAGAATTATCAGATTTGTTAACTGGGTTTCGCAATTCAGGGGCTGATTTATGTCCCCTGGTACGAGTCTTCTCTTTAAAATAATAAAAACACTTCATTTCTTCTCAGGGAAATTCCGTCGAACACCTTATATGCTTCTTATCAAAACCAATTATTCTATCACCTGCTTGTTTCCATTGAAGAACTTTCAAACATACATTAGCTTTTCACAAATGGGTGTAAAAGTAAAACTTCAAAATTAGTAATCACTAAATGGGTTATAAAAAAGCCGACTTTTTTCGTCAAATTATTCTAGAAATCGTCCATTTTTAAAATGAAATTAATCCTTTTTTATAAAAAAAAAAAACCCAGTTGAAGATTAATTGATTTTTGGGTAGGACATATATATATACAACGGAAAATAATGACGTTATACATTGAAAAAACAAAGATTTTTATTGAAGTCTATTAATAAGAAGTTGAGAAAAAGAGTGATAAAATCTTGGGAAAGATTAAGGAAGAAGAAATGTAATTGGGTGAAAGAAGTTGAATATTGCGGGAAAAGGAGTGGGAGTTGACGAGAGAGAGAAGTTGGTAAGGGTGTTAGCCGTTGGTGGCACGTAAATGAAATATAATGGACATGAGAGTTTGTAGTAAGCTTGTCAATTTGAATAAGAATTCAATGCTACTTTCTTTATAGTTGTAGTCAAAGGGGTTATTAATTAATTTATTTTTTTGATGCAAATTATTAATTTATATATCAAAGGCTTCATTTGACTTGTTAAGGTTGAACATGAACAGCTTAGGGTGGTTTTATGCCTAAGAGGACATTAATTGTGGTTTGTGGAGGCGTGAACGTTAACTTATTTTAAAAGTTAAAGTTTTGGGATGGTTTTATGCCTAAGAGGACATTAATTGTGGTTTGTGGAGGCGTGAACGTTAACTTATTTTAAAAGTTAAAGTTTTGGGATGGTATGTAAAGCTGTTAGACCGGTGATTAGGACTTAAAGGTGGTAATCGGATAGTTTAGATTTTGAGTCGTTGGGGTTTGGTTACCTTTCATATAGATTGTTTTAAGTTTTCAGTGTAGTTTTAAGTATAAGTTGTCTAATTCAAACAAAGTTATTTGGGTTGGTTTAGTTTTGTACTCATATTTTATGATTAGGTGAAGATAATAAACATAAACTTCTTATTTTACCAAGTTATATAAATAGTTTTTACTTTTTCTTAGATGCTAATTGATTTCTTTTTACTTTTTAATTCATCTAAAATCACTTAAGACTTTATTGTTGATAGTGAATAAGCTATTGAATAACTATATCATGTGTAAACAAAACATTACGGTTGTCAATTTTGTGATATATATGCATGTATTATTGACTCCCGTGTTCTCAAACAACAATTAGATCTTACTCCCTTTATTCTTATGTGCTTTCTCCTTGATAATTTTGTGAGTCAAAATTCAAAAACTTAAGTATAACTATTCTATAATAAATAATATAGTTATGTTAGATCTTGTTGGATTCGTTTCCACGTCTACCTTTAGTATATACAGTATCAATTTTTTTTACAATTTTTGCATTAATAAAATTGAAGATATTCACATTTTAAGATGTGCATTGAAAACTGTGAAAAGTCAAATGGAGCAAATAAATAGAGATAAAGGGACTAAATATTTTTAGATCGGAAGAAAATAAGTGAATCTCTTTCAACTGTCTTCTAGAAGGATATAAATTTAAGTGCAAACTAAACTTAATACTCGTACTTATTCATAAATGAATCACAAGGTCATAACCACTCCATTAGTGTAGGATTTGCGGCTAGTATTATTAATCATATTAATTAATTGATAGAATCTTATAGTATAATGAAGATTTGATTAAGCACCACTGGCAAACATTGATAAATGAAATAATTTTGTACATACTTGGCAAATAGATCCCAAGAATATTGTACGTGTTGTGTCCACATGATGAAAACACATAGTTCCTCGTACCATCGATCTTGTATGTGTTAATGTGCCTCCTTTTCATAGTATATGCCTTGGACTTACACAAATATTAGGGTTGGCAATCTGGCATATTATTATTGTGTTGTTCCTGTGTATTTGAAATCAAGAACTCCCTCCCTCTGTTTCACAATATTAGTACCATATACAATCAATCACGTATATAAAATAAAAAAAAGAAAAATATTTGGAATCTAACATTAAAGTACAAAATAATTCATAATTAGTTTTCCTTATTTAAGTTTTTTGATTTTTTTTTTTGGGGAAAGCATAAGTCATAATGCATGATTTAAGGTAGAGATTTCCTTACTTAGAGACATGTCATCAATCCACAACCAATTAATTCCAAAAAAAATTAAGTTAAAAATGGAACATATAAACATATTCAATATGGGTAGATCTTTTTGAAATGCCCAAAATAATATATGGGACTAACATTATAAAACGGAAGGAGTATTGTTTTATTGTTTTATATTACTCATATGGTATACGGAGTATATTATTAGCTTTTGAATACAAATTTTGCTGATTTTAATTTTGGAGGATAATGAAAGTAGTGATTATTACTATGCAGTTGATTATTTATAGTTCCTATCTATGCAATTCTCTTACAATACATAAACAAAGTGCAAAAAATTTGGTTTAATTTCTTTGCCTTCTATTCTATCTTTGAAATCAAGCTAAATTTACTCCCTTAACCGCATGCCTTCTCCATTTATGCACACACTAGTTCATATTAATAATATACTTCTTTAATACTCGGTCTTTTTAGTTCAAACCATATATGAAAATGTTACTCAGTATTTGATACTCGCTCATATATGCATTGATTATTACTATCTAAAGCTGGCAGGATAACATATAATACTAATTTTTTAATAATCGATAATTATTATAGAGTGCTATACTTAAACTTCATTGTAACTTTAAAGTGAATTTCCAAAAAAAGAAAGACTTAAAGGCCAATCTTCATATGCAATTCTTTCTACTTTGTTGAGTGAGAGAGCTTGCCAAATTAGGAAAAATATTTGTAAAAAGCAGGGGTTGTATTAACGAGAGATTATCAATTATTTTTTTTTTTTAATAAAATATCTTCATTTTCAAGAGAAATATAGGACAAATCATTGGACATTCATCCCACCTTTATATGCATAGTACCTTCCAAAGTTTTGGGGCATGAAAAACTGCTGATTGGTGGGATGTTGATGGCTGGATACAAGAATGCATTGAGCACAAGAGATACATCCAGCTTTTCTTGTAAACTTTTAGGAAATAAATACAATAAATTTCAGTGTTTTTTTCCTACAATGTTAACTGATTGCCTTATAATCAATCAACTTTGATAAGAAGATTCAAGGATTTCATAGATTGCCAAGCTTTATGAAAGATTATTACTTGCTAGATTATTTGCGAATATTCATTGGCTAAATACAATTAATTATTGACCACAAGATTATTTTTGGGGAGAAAGTTGTCACATTCTTAAACTAATACTCCGTATCATCTTATTTATATTACTTATCGTTATTGATTGACCCCTGACATACATATTTTCTAAAGTAGTTTTCCTCTAATTTTTCTCTCATAACCCAATATTTTACTTGATCTTCTTGGAAAAGTCATGTACGGAACATAGGGAACGAAGAGACTAATAACTAGTGATCATCGGCTGAACAAAATTATCCGAAAAACCGAAAACCCGAACCGTAATTGAACTGAAAATTAGGGTACCTGTTCCGATAACCATAACGGTTCGAGTACCTGATCCGATAACTTTGTTACCGGGTACGATTATTGGGTATCATTTTAAAATTAACGGTTACCCGATCCAATCTGATAAGCAATTTTTTCATTTTCTTCCAACTTAAATCTATTTATCCAAAATCTAAACTCTTACTTTACTTCATAATCACTTCATAATTTAAATGGTTAGTATTATTATTAGTAATTTGGTCATGATCATGTGGTATTATTGCTAATTAGTGTTGAATGATATCATAATAACTAGATTATAAAGTCCAAATTTTCATTATTGGATAACATATTGGGTACCCGATAACCGATCCGAAAATCCGGGCCGAAGTTCATACTTAGTGTTATTGGTTATCGGGTACCTGAAGCGATAGTGTTAACAGTACGGGTACTTGACCCATGATCACCCCTAATCATCATAATGAGAGTAACATGAAGTGACATATCCTTAGCCTATCTTATTCAGACTCAACATGAAGTGTCAGGCATGAATATGTATCCAAGTGTCAAACATGACTACTTTATAATATTATTAACTAATTTCGGTCCAAATTGAATTGTTTGTCATACCAACGTGGCAACGTCCAAGAGTTGAGTATTGATGCAAATACCTGATGTGAAAAGAAGGGTCGAAGTAACATGATTAATCCTTAACTGATTGACGTAATTTTTTTGGCCCGCTATAGGAATTGAAGCATAAAGCAGCATGATTTGGTATGCATACCATGCAGGAGGAGACTTTTAAAATTGGAATCAAACTTAACTAATACGTAGTATATCTTAAGATTCTTAACCACTACCTCAGGAACTCACTGTTCTGAATCTCCTGATGTATAGTATTTGAACCAAATATAAATAAATAAATAAATCTTTTACAATCAACAAAAAAAAAATAGAAGTCTTCACATGTCATATAAAAAATTATAAGTGAATGATCATTCGAAACATTAGGTACTATGTAGTTCAGCTCAGATCTAGAAACTGAGAAATACCATGTAGTATAAACAAATTATAAGATTAGTTTATGTTCACTGCCAAATCTTTGCAGAAAAAACACAAGAAACATAGCTAATTTAGCTCATATTCTCAGAGTTACAACTCACTAATTAAAGAGATTAATGATATTGCAAGTTACCATAATTTCTGTAAATAAATCTGTCTGACAACCTGCCCATAATTAGTTAGCTGCAGAAAATAATCATTTCATTTCATTTGCTAGCTATTAATGCCAGAGAAATTTAAGCTTACAAAGTCACACTGAATGAATCATTAGTCTCATCATCCCACATAATAAACATATTTAGTTTCTTAGATTTGAGGGGATCTGGGGGTCGGAAATCCTCAAAATGAAGACCGGAGCTAGTTCGAATCTCATTTAATGTTGATTCTCCTTTTTCAGACTTTATCATCTCCAGGATGCTCCCAAGGACATCTCCTGCCAAGCCAATTTCTAGAAGGCGGCCTGGTTCTTCCCCGCCTTGGTGTATCATTTTACCAACCTCATTTAAGGACAGGACATTCTCTAGGATGACTTTACCGAAAATCTGGCCAAGAAACTCTGGTGCTTTTGGGGCATCACTGATAGTATCCTCCAACTTTGTCAATACAGAATCGAAACTGGCAAACAGATCAACATTGGGATTAAAAAGAAACACAAATGACCAAAAAGAAGCTAGCAGATAGTTTCACATTAGACCTGTCATGTGGACCGAGCTAGACCTCAAGCCACACCCCCTCAGTTTTCTGTGCTTATTATAGAGTAGAATGGCACAGAACGAGGCACGGAGGACTGATCACAGGCTGGCTCGGTAAATTAGTAACATAAAAATTAAAGAAAATGCTAAAGAAAACCTGTAGGTGGGCACGACTGGCATGTGGGATGTGCCACCCAGAGCAATTCACTTCCATCCCAACCCCATCCCCCTCCCCCCAAAAAAAGTCAGCAAATCACAAGGCAATATATGATTCCACAAGTAACTCTTACCCTTCAATGAGCTGCTGTGGACTAAACATGCTATCTCGAGGCTTTGAAAGACTAATAAGCAGTTTTGCCAACATATCCCTCTCCAAGGCTTTCCTCTCAAAAGCATCCGTAACCCAAAGAGATATAACAGTAGGGTAGAATTTTGGAGCATTCAAGTCTTTGATGCACAATGCAACTTCCTTCTCATCATTTGCACTGGAAATAAGTAAACATCAATTAACCAGACAATCAAAGACCATTGTTTATCATCATTGAGAATGTCAATAATCGAAAGTTATCTTCAAGCAATCAATATTACTAGATGATAATTGTCTCACGTACATAAAACATAAAAGGTGATTCAATCCAGTGAATGCATAATGCAAGTCCACCAAGTCGGACTATGTATGTGGCAAACAAATTCCTTATTATCCTAAATTATAATCACAAATAATAAAAAAATAAAAAAATAAAACAAGTTAAATAAATGAAAGCTGTTCAGCAAAAGTTCTAAACACATTAGCTAGCAACCACTCCAATTCACATGTCCCTGCATTCTCATCAATTCTCCTAACTTGGAGAGATGAAGTTAGTCATTAGAAGGTTATGTTTCCAGAATTCCAGGTCAAGTAAAGAATTGGATAGACATCATAGGTAATGTAGCTATAAACCAAGATACCAACACCAGGAAGTGCAATCTACTAGTCACCAAAATAGGACACTACCAGCAACTACAGTAGTTAAAACTGTGCATGATATTCGTAAGAAAGCTACTGGTAAGCTGATAGCATTAGTGCACCAAACCATTCTATGTGACCAATATCCATCCCTTTGGTTCTTATTCTACTCCTTGTTTGATTCACAAATATTTCAACTCATTGTTTGAAGTAGAAGATACTCTTATTTGCTAATGTAATAGCAGCAATATTCTTTTTCTTAATTAAAAAAAAACATGTTCTAAAATGATATATTGACCACACAAAGTTGAACAGAAACCCGAAATAAACACAACCACCCGAGCATGACCTAAAGTGACCTGAAAGACTGAAATGAATCCAATCTAGATACAACTCAAACAATAATGACCCAACCCCAAACTGGATTGAACACTATTCTTCCTAAATATTCGTTAATTCTAATTTTAGAATAACAATTGAAAATCAAAGCACCCTACACTAGAACATTTGAATGATTGAAAGTTGCACTTAAGTGGAAAGTCACAGGGATTTTTAAAATATCCCTTTAACGCACCCAGATCATCCTTGGGGAATTTTCTAGCCATTAGTTGGTTTTGGATAACCACAGATTTGAAATTTATGCAGTGTGCAGTTTGACAAAGAAAATATTGCCATTCAGTAATTTCTTTGGATTTCTCTGTAGTTCAGTACTACAGACCAATGTTTTTTTTAAGAAAAAAGACAAGGGGGTACAAAGCAGAAGGAAATATTAAGCAAAAGATGCAGCACATACTATAAAGGGCACAAGATGTAAATAGCACCATAACCCATATTCACCCCTTTTCTTTTGATCATGAAAAAACTTGAAAGCTATGTAGGGCTTCGTGAACCAAATCAAGAATACCTTAGAGTGCAAGAACAATTATAACAACATAGAGAAATAGGTAAATATTTCAGTAATGTGTATGTTAAAAGAGTGACACAAGGCAGTTCTTACCTATAATACTCCTTTATGGTAGCCATAGACATGTCTCTCAAGCGTTCTTCAGGCCACACCTTTTCTGAGGTGATGTTTTCAGCTGGAGCTGCAACTGCTCGTGTCACAAGTGATGAAGTCAGTATAGGCTTTTCCATACTTCTATCAGGGTTTTTAACGTCCCTATTTGTGTAAGTCGAATTACGCTCTAGACCACCAGAATGGTCATAAGAAACTGTCGCTCCAAAACTTTCTGAGGCCTGCCTTGAAAAGTGATCTTCCCTTGAGCTATAAGCTCCACGATCTGATGCATTACTATATCCATTCAAACCACTCACTACTCTTCTAAAATCCCCATGAAATGTAGTATCAGTTGAAGAGGCGATGGAGGTAGATGGCTGTCCTCTACATGACATGCCCCTAGCAAGACCACCTTGAGGTCCAAGTGTAATAGGCTCATCACCAGAAGAGCATTGGGGCAAAGTCACTGAAAGAGTCCTACTCTCAAAAGTACTCCTTTCATCCTTTCGTACATCGTGCCCATCATATCCACGTACTTGAGTACTATAACTTCTAAAGCCATACGCCTGGCCAACTGGAGAAGGTAACAAGGAGCCCCTTTGACTATATTCTACAGGATGGCCCCTCCTCATTGAAGGGTTCATGCTGGGCCCACGACTTGGCCGACCAGCTTGTGCAAGCCTTTCTTGAGCAGCATCCCTGTGCACTTCCTCAATCTTTTTAGGCCCTTCAACTTTCCTTCTTTGTTGCCATTTGTTCTTTCTAAGATCAATGGCATCTTTCAACATGAACCTCACTCTTGAAGATAGATTCATGTTGTTAGATAACTGCCACATAATGTCAAAATACGCATCCATATGATCCTTAGCTCTGGAATGATCAATCATTTCACCAATTGTGCTCATCAACTTGCACAATGCTTCAATATTTTCTTCATCAGCATTTTGATATTGACCCAACAACTTCTTAATGCACTCATGCATTATTCTCTCAGTCAACATCCTCTTCTTGTACAATTCTCCGATCAATCTTATGTTACCCAGCATACGCCTTCGAGCTTTTAATCTTTTTCCTTCTCGCTCTGCCTCAGTTTGTTTGATCTCACCCTCACCATCATCCTTATTAGCTTCTTCTTCCTCTCGTTCTCCCCTCTCAAATTCTTCTTGGCACTTGTTTAGTAGGAGCCTCTTGAAAGTGATCTTCTCATCATCTACGCTGAGGTCTGGCAATTCTAAAGCCAGATGAGAGCAGAAATTGGCATACATTTCACAGAACGTTGGTTCAGTTAGAGCCTTGTAAAAAATCTGAGATATGACTCCAGTTAGAGTCACTGCATTGTCGATATTAACTTCTTTAACTTGCTCAAACAGTTTCTCAAAATTTTGTGGGGTAAGCTTATTTAAGATAGCCTTCAACCTCCTTTGTTTTGCCTGTTCTTCATCACTAACTTTACCCACTTCATACTTATTGTCAGCTCTGTGCATCACCTGTGAAGGATTCTGAGGAGCCAGCATCATACCTCTGTCGAAACTTGTAGCTCGTTGCCAACGTTCTGCATCAGGGTTATATCGTTGAGCTCCCTGAAAACTCATTGAATGCATTGGCCCAGAAAGGATCCCACCACCATGCTGAATGGGTCCATGTCCACCTGGATTTCTGAGAACGCCATAATTAAGCCCTGAGCCAGACTGATATCCCATCATATAGCCACCATAGGCAAGATCTAACCCTGGATCCTGACCTGAAAATTGAGGAACTGGTTTATTCCACCTACCAGCATCCATCATGCCATTAACATGACGATTATTTCGGGCAGATCCAGAAGGCCTATCAATATTTCTTCCTGAAGTTGCATGATCACGATCACTATGAGAAGCATTGGCACTGAAACATGATAATATATCAGCGATCTCAGGCGTGATTTGACAATGCTTCGGAAGATCAGTACACTGCTGTGATAATGTGAGGAGAAAATCCCTGGAATACTTTTTCACAAAAGCTCTTTCTTCATCATGACGTGAGCCTCTATGTTCTCCTTTAACTGAGGCATCCAATTTCGATGCAGACACATCAGCAGCATCTTCCCAATCTTCAAGCTCCAGTTTACCTTTCTCACCCTTATTCTTTCTTGCACTATTTTCACCATTAGAAGGAATCTTCAAAGTACTAGAGATATCTTCTGCAGAAGCAACAGTTTCTTTCTTCTCCTCAGCACCTTTATAGGCCATGTACAAATCAGCATTCGTCCCAAGAGAATCTGCCTTCTGAAGCATTTCTTTCCATTTCTTCTTCCCCTTATTCTTTGTCTTACCTGAAGAAGAAATTGGACTTGCTTTCTCTGTGATTTCTATTTCCTGCCTTAACTTTGCTTCAGAAAAATTTGCAGCCGCAGGAGATACCTCATTATCTGACGTAAGTTTGGACACACTCTTAGGAGAAAACATTTGCAAGGATGTCTCGGCACTTTCAGTCCCAGAAGTTCCAGACTTAGACTCCTTCTGAGAAGCTTCAAAACCAGCTGTCTCTTGATCATATTTCTTAGTTTCATCACAGTGTTCAGTCTTTTTGACAAATTCTGTGGACTTCAAAGCACGACCTGGTTGCAGCCCCTTAACTTCCTTTTCCCCTTGTTGCTCAATAACTTGCAAAAGATGGCCATTTTGTTTATTGTATTGATCTTTACCTGCTTTCATGGGAGGGATCATGTTTGTAGTCAGTTGATTAGTAGTACTATCTTGTATTTGAGTATATACAACTTGAGAATCTATAATTAAACCAACAAGATGAACCATTCGTCATAATTAAAGGTTCTTTCTTAAATAGTCTACTTAATTTTATATATATTGGACTTAATGTGTACTTTGTCTTAAGTTTAATACTTAAACCAACGGAGATGATCAACTTGTGATAATAACTGCTTTCTTTTTGTTTAGACGTGTTCGTGCCATGAAAAATATTATGAGAAACTTAAAAATCATTAATAAGATGAACTACTTCTAATCATCACATTAACTGTATTTTAACCTCAACTGGAAACTAACCTTCATTGTTAAATTCTAAGGACTAGGGATTTTCTTAGTGGAAAATGACACAAAAAGAGATGATATGATTTGTGTAATAAAACATATTCAATACCTTGATTGAACGCACTTACTTTAAACTTTAGATTTGGCATTACCTGCATGGTCTTCAATTTCAAGATCAACAGAAGAATCACCAGTTGATCCTGAATCAGTACTCAAGAGTGATTCCTTCAACGTAGAAACATCATTTACATGCATAATTGAAATATTAGACTTAACATCTGGAGCAGCAATCTTCAATGAATCGACATGGTCCTGTTGTACACTTAAGTCAGCCTCCAGATACAATGCATAATCATTGTCCATAGACTAACCCACCCTACGCTAAGTTACTTCCAAAAAAACAAAAAAAAAAAGAAAGAAAGAAAATTGACCTGTGGTGATGAATGGACGTTTTCCTTCTTCTCTGGATGCTTTTGTACATCTCTTATAGAGTCCAACTTGATTACAGTCTCCTTCTTAATGACATCTGTATTTGTTGGAGAATATGCAACAGATTTTTTCAACCACACTGAGTCGGATTTTAGCTGCAAAGAAGATTCATCTGCATTTGCTTCCATATCCTTTTTAACAGTGTCAGGTTGCACGGGAAGCCTAACTAGTTTTTGTGACTCAACCTTTTCAATGTCACTAGAACATGTACCCTTCTCTGCTCCAGAGTTAACAGATGCTTTAACATTTACTACTGGTGAAGTTGACTGTACAGAAGGAATAAGATAGTTGAATCTAGGACCCTGAGAAATAGCTTGTGTGCTTGGAAGAGGAAGACAATTTGGCGCTGGAAAAACGGGAGGACCTGGACTGTAGGAATTAGAATAGTATCTGCCAGGGCGCATTGCTGTATAAGAAGGCATAGGTTGAGATGGTGAAAGCCTCACGTGATGTGATCTTGATCTAGGTGACCCACCATCCCTATTATCTAGTGTAAGTTCCTTGTGTGTTTCTGGGTGAGTAATCCTCACTACTTTACGAGTGCTTCCAACATTTCCAGGCTGATGCAGATTAAAAGGAGGGGACAAAGGCATTCCTAAACTTCCCGGCTGATGAGGAGGTTGGGGTCCCAATTGAGGGTTGAACCCAATGATCTGGCCTTGACTAATGATTCCTTGATTCTGCATAAGATTGTGTTGAAGACCAGGCACAAAGACTTGCTGCTGAGGCGGATTTCCTATATGAAATGGCATCTGCATTGGCATTGGATGTGAATTATTTAGTGTACCTCGAGTCTGAATTTGTGGGTTGGGGATAACAAACTGCATGCCAGCTGGAGGTTGGTGTTGCTGATAAGGCAAAGGCATAGAAATCCCTGCCATAGGACGAACAGCAGGCTTCTGAGGTTGCATTAGTTGAATTGGAGAAGGCACAGGTGTCACTTCAACTCTAGTGACTTTTGAAGCAGTATTAGTTTCTTGAGCTATTGGTTTTTCCTCAGATGAAACATGCTTTTCAGGTACCTGCTGCTTAGGAGCATATGATACTGGAATAGGAGGTGCAGTTCTTGCAGCAGCAGCATGCCGAACCTGAATGGTGATACATAAAGCCATGAGTACAGATAATTAGAGATCTTTCAAAGCCATACTTTTGTCTTTAGACCAGCATCAACATCAAAATATATAAATCCAAGCCACCAAACATTACACCTTGGAAAACTATCTAATCTCTTTCTCCGACAACATAGCCTTGTACTAAAGCCTCTTTAAAGGCATCATACCAAAGAAAGGAAGTCGATGTAGCAACCTTATCGTTACAATTAAGAATCAACATAAGATAGTTTCATATAGCCCCTTCATTACTAGAAACTTGGTCAGGCATTGCCTGATATGTTATTCTATAAATATATACAAAAAGGCAGTCTGAAACATTTGAGAAAGTCAAGTGTGACCCAAACTAGACATATAAGTTCAGCTATGTTTATGCATTATTCATTATGCAACTTTTGTCCCAATTTGGCTTTCTGAATTAGACCTTAATACAAGAATTTATTTTTTAGGTTAGCAGTATACTATGCCGACCAAGGAAAAAAAATCAAGAGCGAGATGCTAGATCAATTGTGAGGAAAGAAGACAAGGATGAAAAACCTGATTACGCTCTTGCTCATCCATATTTGGTGGAGCCGAGCTGGTTCGTGCTGGCACCTACAGGAAACATAAAGAGAGACTGACATTGGATGTATTGGCTTTAACTCTTTAAGTTCTGAAAGCAGCATAATCTATATAGATTCTGTTACAGTTCCGAATGAAAGGAGTAAAAGAAAATGAATTTTAAATGTGAATTTTTAAACATATTATTGGTGGTACTGTTAAAACAATGAGATACCTGCATGCCATTCATAACGCCAGGACTTATGGATCCAAACTGAAGAGAAAATTCCTTACCTCCTCCTGAAAAAAGAGAGGATAAAAATTGAAACCTTTCTGCAAAGAAGTTTAGCTTGTCTACCCTCTTGACAGAATGAAACCGCCACTGTCATTTGGCAAAAATAGAAGTACAAGGAAATACCTTTTAAAGGAGTTGAAGGTAAGGTTGAGTCTGAAGTCATGGAGGACGATTGAGAAGACGGAGCTTTTGGAATGGGTCGGCTGCTATTCTGACTCGATGTATCTGATGGCTTGGGAACAGAATCTGCAGCTGGTGGAGAGGATATTCCTAAAACAAACAGGTGTTGTTCTGATAACTATCACATCTTTATAACATATAATTGACTATAGAATACTTGTTGACAACAAATGAAAAACAAAGAAAAGGAAACAAATATAAGGAAAAGACTACCATGTAATGTAGACTGCACATAATTGCCATTCTCGCCACGATGAACACCAACAGCAGTGGAATTAGAGCCTGATGATGGTGTACTCACTGATACAAAAGTTCCCCTTGATTGCCCACCTTGTCCATTGTTTGATTTCTTAAAACTAAACCATTAAAAAAGGCAACCCAAACAAAATAGGAAATCAATCAAAATGAAATCATCCAAGTAATCAACTAATCGGAAGCTGACAAGGCAACAACCGCCTCCTAGTGTGGATCCTACTGCTAGTTTCTGGCAGGCAAGGTTCTAATGATCACAAGATACAACAAACAACAAACAACAATCCAGAGAAGAAAAAACAACAATATAGACAAAAAGTATCAAATATAAATTGTGTTTATAAAACTTTTCATTGGTTGAAATTATCTCTCTTCATCCGGCTTAAATGTTACGGAGTATATTACTAATTCAAAATACACTATCAACATGACTGTTAATTCTCAATTAATCAAGTAATTAGTTGGACTAAATCAACTCATAGAAAGTAAGGAAAAAAAAAAAAAAAGAACTCGAATAATCAACCCTATAAATCAAAAAACAAACCCTAATCATCAACAAGAAAAATAAACAGCAACTCTAACATTTTTTTTTAAAAAAATTATACTTTCCCATTTCACAAAAATGGTTACACTTTACATTTTGAGGCATAAATTTAATAACATTGACAGAATATTGTCACTCATACATATATCAAAAATTCAAAAGATAATCATCGTGTTCTTGTTTAATTAAAAAACGTAATTAAAAATCTTAATGATCAAAGGATTGCTTTGAAGACCGTAACAAAAATAAAAGTGTAACTATTTTCGTGACGGACCAAGAAGTGAATAACAAAGGGTGAAACCTGCGATTATTAGAAGATATAGGAGGGGCGGAGGAGGCGCCTCTGCCGGTGCCGGTGGCCGAATAATTGCGGTGATTTTGATCAGACAAGGTGTTGTTTAATCTTCCACCACCCCCTGTTTTCCTGTACTGCTTCTCCTTCTTTTCAACCCTTATTTGATTTTGGGACATATATATTTTCTGATTTTCCGACCCTCCTTTTTTTTCCAATTAATTTCACAGCAACAAAAATTCAATCAATCAAAAAATATTAAAAGATTTAAAACCCTATATAAAGATTTGAACTTTTCTTCATTTACACCATAAAAATCAAAACTTTGACATTCTAATTGATAGTAATTAACATTAGGAGTGAATTTTATATATAACTTTGTTGTAATTTCAAATTAAGAGAGGAAAAATACCTTAGAGAGTGAAGAAAGTGAGGAGAGAGAGAAAGTATTGTCAGCAAGAATAGAGAGAATGGCGGGAAGAATAGAGAGAGATGGTTGGGTTTGTTAGTTTGTTGGGGAGTGATGTTGTGAAGGGTGTTTTTTGTTGGAGAGAGAATAAAAACAAAGAGAGGGTCAACAGCCAAATCTTAAGGAGATCTATAAGTAGAAGCAACATTTTGAGGACTTGGCCTTTTGGCCTTGCATTATTTTTCTTTCTTTTTTGGTTTCGAGAGAACTTGTCCACTACAGACCTATCTCAGCTTCAGGGGAAACTCGACGTGTTTCTGTGGTCATCTATGTAATTTCAAAAAGACATAAAAACATAAAGAAGATCTAACACGGGTTCTTATATGACTCCTTATGAGGTGTTTCTTTAGCTTCAAAAATCTATTACTCTCATCATACCTTTTCTTGTCATTTGGTAAATTACTTTCATTAACGTGAAATGTAACCCAAGTTCAACCAAGGACATGATGCGATTATCATGATCTTTATTAGTACTGAATACGAAGTACATTCATTAACATAAATATAATTACTAATTCTAATTATGTAGTTAGTATGGTCTCTATTGTCCAATTTTATTTCATTGAGTGTATTCATTAAATAGTTCATGTCATTGGTTGTATTTAGTGATTAAGGTCTTGTAGTTTAATTTATCAACCAATGGTTGTAGTTACACCATAACTCATGCTAATGACTAATGTATAATTATGCCTAATTTATACGTTAACAGATGTTTGGAACCCTTGTCCCTTCATTTATATTGTCCTTAAAAATTTGTGTAGAAGCCTTAAGGATGTATTAGTGTTAAAAGACATTGATAACCACATTAATCCCGATTCTCTCCGCATCATTCTACTGAATGAAATTTCTATTGATTGATTAATTAATTTTCTTTATTTATATGTGATTGTAAGTGTCTAATTGATCCATATTGAATACTTCAAGGTGAAGAGAATGCGGCCTTAGAGTGCATATGATAAATAGTATAGCTTGCGATTAATTATCAAGTGTAGCACAACACATATTAACATTGATATCTACACTTCAGAGTTATACGGTTTTTGTCCTTTTGGAGAACGTTTTGGGTGAACATTTGCAAGTTGTGTAACTTATTTTTCGAAGATCATTTTATTGTGTGATTAAAATTGCTTTTGAAATCAAATTGAACAAGCATTAATTTACTTTGTATCTTAGTATGTATTGATTAATTTACTTTGTATCTTAGTATGTATTGGTACTGTCTCTACAAAATGAAGTGATGGTCACCAAGGGTCATATCCCAGCAAAAATTACTTGTTCTTGATGATCAGTTGAACACGGGTAACACCACCAAGTCCTGCACAAACTTCCTCAGATTTACATTACATAAGAGTGAACATTACAAAGGATTTTTTTCATAAATACGTCGTTCGTGAATTGTAATATGTAGGAAAATTAATTAATACAAGCTCCAATATGAGTTACACTTGAAAACACTTGAATCTTGACATTTGAAAACACTTGTTCTTGACATTTAACAACAGTATGAGTAACTAATCACTTTTATCACTCATATCATAAACAGAATTTTACACCTCAAAATATAATAGAAAATTAGAAACCATACATTATCGTAGAAAAAGTTTACAACATAAAGAAAACTAATTTCCTAAAAACAAAGGACCAAACCACACACCCACATTTAATCCCACTCCTAAATGTATAAGCCTTGCAACAAAAAAAGAGGCTTCGTACTGCTCACACTGTTTATTGTTCACTTGTAAATTTGAAAGACTAAAAAAAAGCAGAAACCAAATCTATTGCTGATATTACTGATGATAAACACATTATTGTTTCCTTATTTTATCATCCTCGGCGTTGCCCTGCTCTTTGTTTATCTCCTCCGGTGTCGTTGCCACCGTGATTCCTTCCTCTTTCACCGGCACCGATACTTTGGGCCCACTCATCCATCTGATCTCCTATATCCTGACCTTCCAGACCTCCAACACTTTCAATTACCACTGTTTCGCTTTGCATCACAGGATTTCCACCTCCACCTCTCTCTCTTCCCATTCCATGAGTCCGCTCACCCATACCGGTATCAAAGCCTTCGCCGACACCACCACCACTCTTTCCGAAACCACCTGTGTCGAAACCACCACTGGTACCGTATGTGCCAGATAAACCGGTGGTGTGGGGGACATGGACTCCAGCATGGTACCCTGTAGCAGTAGGTCCCATGCTGCCTGCAGTCCCGTAAGTGTAACCTGTGCCAGTGCCAGTGCCCACATCATCAGCAGCAGGGCGACGTAGCTGCTGCTGCTGCCCCATGTCCTCGGAGCCGTATTCATTACCGTATCCAGTAGGATCGTAGCCAGGAGCACCAGCAGTAGTCCTGGATGCTCCGGTAGAGCCAGGTGCTCCTAATGGATCACGTGCACCATATGCGCCAGTAGTTCCCGGAGCTCCCAAGCCACCACCTTGGCCAGTGTTTCCTGTGTGTCGTTCAGTTTGACGACCTGCCATATTTTTATCAGAGTAAAATTTGATGGATGTTTATTTTGTAAGTTTAAGTTGGATAATAGTGTATGTAAAAGTGGATAAGTTTGTAGCATAAGTAGATGATGTAATGTGTATATATACAGTTTATGAGATGAATGTTGGTTTACGTATACATTCGGTGAGAAGAGTGATAAAGACATAACAATTTCATAGAAAGTGGACACGCAGTTGTAAGGTTGATGCGTGGCTGAATGTTGGGAGATGTTAGTTGACACTATGCAGCTTAGCTTGTTTATAAGATTGGATCAAGATTCTGTGATAAGCTTGCTAAGTCAGAGTTACAAGACTACTAGAGAACGTTTTGTTTCTCAATTATCGGGTGAGGTTCCTTGTGAATTGTTAATTGTTTTCGGGTAAATCTAGAGTTTATTGTATCCAAAATAATTTATAGGCGTTAAAGTTCTAAGAAATTACTACTTGTATCTAAATGGCATGCTTCCCATTGGTGCAATTGACCAATGACTTATCCATAAGTAGTAACTTTTTTTTTTTTTTTTTTTTTTTTTTTGACAGGCAGTAGTAACTTAAATTGTAAAATTTCCCAAAAAAAAAAAAAAATAAATAAATAAATGTAAAAACAAAATTTATCATATGACTAATGACTTGGCTCTTTGGGTTTTCAGTAATTATTAGGTTCAAAATTAGAGGAAAATATGTGTAACCAAACTACCAAAGATTTTATGATCTTCCTGTAATAAAAACAAATATTCTAATCTTATTATTGAATATTCTGCATTTTGGTAGAAGTATTCTGAAACGGAGCTAGTAATGAAAATGTTGTTGAGAAAAGCAAAGCTAACACTTTGGTTCATGTGCTTGTTTTGATTCTGTAAATCAGTTGTGCACGTAAAAAAAGTGGATCAACCATTTATATAAAAGAATGGTTGTGATTAAATCAAGTTTATAGCATATACCATTTACGTTTCATAGAACCATGATTTCATAACCATTGATGTTTATTATATATTCAAAAATAAGCTAACAGCTTAATGGGGAGAAGATATTGAATCCTTAACCTCATGGTTGAAAGGTGAAGAGCTGAAGACTCTATGTCTCTTCAATTAGTATCCCACTTAAATTCCTGAACATATCAGCTATGTTTCATAGAAATACCCTCATTAGTCTCATATACAGTAGGTAATAGGTTAGTCACAATGTTTCAGTACTATTGCTCAAGTACATCTCAAATCTTCTACTACGTATTTTGTCAAACTTCAATGTGTGTATGTTATAAATAAGAGTAATTAGACCATCACCATCCTTTATAAGGTTTATTATCATGCTACATCAACAAATTTCTTATTTCCATTGCCTTTCTAGAAACCCGTTCATTATGGCGGGTTTAAAATGTTTTTCAAATAATTTGTTTTACATTATGTAAGATACCTAAAACATAAAAAATCAAAGATCTGATGTGTTCACAACATGATTTTCATTAGTCAGTACAGAGGTGCAAAGCACAAACAAATACAGGGCATGTATAATGTATCTCTTCTTCGGGTGTGTGGTGTACAATCGGTTTAATCATTCTAAATCATATAGATCACTACTTTGTGATTGGAAAAATAAAGAGTGTGATAGTTTTGTCTGATTGATTCATTTATTACATGATTTATACCATAAACTCATTCATCATTTCGTTGCTAAAGGAAAAAAAGTTCATATTTACTGAGTATAAACAATAAGTTGAACAATTAGTTTACGTTATTAAATATTAGTATTAGATATTAGATTAGATTTTAATTGAACCCCTTCAATCTCGCTTACTAGTTGGATTACTTATCCTTTAATATTAAAAGATTCGGAAGTTTTCATTACATTTTAATAAGGTATAATCAAGAAGTTTTTATAAGATTTCATTAAGATAATCAAGTTCCTTTCTTGTCACATTTGTCATCTTCATTTCTTTTGATGATTTCAAATTACAAAAACTTCTTCCTTAATGTCGAAGATTGTTATGCTTTATGTACCCCTCTACAGCTCCATCAACATCAACAAAGAAGCTACAGCGAGAGAGTCAAAAGTGCAGACTGTACTTAGCATAAGAAATCATGCATAACAATTACTTAATCATGTCTCCATAAAATTGTATACAAACCCGTGTTGCGTGGTAGGCATGTGTCATGTGTTGACACATGCACTCCACATGTTGCTTTTAGGTACACCCTGGTGTATATAGATTGTTAGTTTATTACACAGTAATATGTACTTCATATAGTATTTCAATCCAATTAAGTCTATAAATTCCCGAATTGACAAGTCCATTTTTAATAGAGTATTTACACTGCATTACTCCAAAAGGGAGCAAGTTAAAAGGAATAATAATAGAAAAAGCAAATACTAATCCGCCTGTAGTTTATTACTCTACACCAAAACATCTCCAATTCTGCATCAATAATTAATCATTTACAGCAAAATCAGGAAGTGCTGGACACAAACTAGCTCATCAAACCCTGCATCTTTGAGAACGAGAAAGAGCAGGCGAGATGCAATTCCACCAGACATTCTGAAAGATATCGATCTAGATTTAAAAATCATATTGAAAAGGGTTTCATATACACATCAAACGGCTCGCAAGCTGTAAGTTGTGGCTCCTGTGCAGCATACAGAAAGAAGAAAAGTTAATGTCTTAATAATAAGATCTAGGATGAATGAGCAATTCCAGACATTACATACAAAAAATGAATTCCAAAAGCATTCAATTAAATTATAAAAACAAAATAAATTTCTCAGTCTGTCCAACTTGAAATGTCTGACGTGTGTTCATTTGTTCACTTTCCTTGCAAAAAATAGCTTATTGTGTATGATCACTCATACATGTCCAGATGAAATGCAGTGTATGAAGGGATTAACGAATGTGCTAGCTAGTTTGCGATTAACGACAATTAACAATAATAAAGATGGAAAAAACAAGTAATAAACGAGATAAGGAGAATTTACCGTGGGAAACCCGAGAACCGGGAGAAAAACCCACCAATCGACTATGGAGTAACAATTTGATGAAGGTTAATGTAGTTTACAAGCTTTCAATTCACCATGAAAACTCCCACCCCAACTTCACCCTCTCAAACACTCAAACCCTAAGTGTTTGGGTTTACATTAAGGCGTTCTCTCTCTACATCTTTCCCTTCATCCTATTACTCTCTCTACAATGACAAAACATAAGTATATATAGTGCAAGAAGATCAATGGATAAGATTACATCCCGAGCGAAATAACAGAAATCGCACGCTGGAACAGGGGCTCGAAGGTTCGACCGAACCTACCCTGGGGTGGTTTGGTCGAACTTTTACCTTGGTCCGACCGAACCTGCTCTAGAAATCAAAGAGCTGCAGGGTCTGCCTCAAAAACATGGTTCGACCAAACTTTTCAAAAATTCGGTCGAACTCCTGCACTGCGCGGACAGCTCTTCATTAAACAGCCATAACTCCCTCGATTCTAGACCAAATCAAGCTTATGACCAGTCGTTGGAAAGCTCTTGAGACGAGCTATCACCTCCAACTTGAATCATCTCAATATCATTTGAAGTCAGCCCTTTGCCATCCATCGTTTCTTAACACCAAGCAATAGCCCATAGCTTAAACTTCTAAGCTATGCACCCCCTTAGCCTTCTTGAACCGTTCTCCACACTTCTCAAACCCAACAGTGTACATCTATAATAATTTGAGTTCCCATTTTTGTTCGGTTCATCTAAAATTTTAAATCTAAGCTTATTAGTTAGATTGCGGATGAGGTGAGCGAGGCTAATCATATTTGATTGACACCTCCCACACGTTTACTCTGTATATGTTCTCTACAATATGAAGTATTCAGTCATGCATTTCGCACATGATTCTGGTCCTAATAATTTATTTATTTATGATTGGTCTTGGATATTCAGTACCCCGTAAAAAGAAGGTATAAATCCGCTGTTTTAAGGACATACATATACTTCACTGAAAGTTGAGGAGTACAATGCTGAATTGCTGACCATCCATTACAATTTCAGGCCCCTTACACTATTTGCTAGCCACGATGACCAATCGATAAAGGATTCAATTTCCATAGAATAGTTATTCACACAGCTTGTTTGACTACTTGAAAATTCCATAGATCCATCAGGTATTGTCAAAATTTACTCAAGGATTACGGTTGATTTAAGCCTCTGCCGCTTGCATTGACAGCCTACTTGTTTCTTGCTAATTTTCTCATGAAACATCTACCCTGCTATAACATTTAAGCAATGCTATTTTAAGGAAGCAAAGATCTTAGGACAGCATGCCACTGAAGAAATGACGCCTATTTGGTGACAGAAAACTCCAGGAAAACATGGTTTATCATCCATTGGAAGAAACAACAAACAAGGTCATGACATAAATCCTAGCAAAGCTAAAAAAAAAAATGTATAATTGAGCATGCATCATCAATAAAAGTACAAGATACGGCATTAAATTTCAACAAAAAGCAATAAAAACAATCAAAGAATATCAAGCTTTACAGCTAATTACTGAAATCAGCTACTCGATTACTCATTAGTGCATTTAGTATACCACAAAAAATTTGAGCAAGAACACTACCGAGTTTCATGTTCATTATTGGCTAACTAATGCATAATAGTTGTATAGGTGGGAATAGACAGGGTAAAAATTTAAAATATAAATTGAAATAGACAGAATAACAAAAAAAAAAGCTCACCTGTGTCAGCCCCCCAGAGACACTTCCTCCAGAGACTAGCATGGTCAGAAGAGATGTAACAACACCACCTCCGAGAGCTCCTCCAGAGCCTCCTCCAGAGCTATTACCAACATTGCGTATGGTTGCCCGCATAGAATTTAACATGCTCCCATATGTGCTAGCTTGTCCATTCTCAATGGCTTTGATGAAACAGTAAGTCATAGCTCCAGTCGAAGTGACCTGAGATAAAGCCTGACCAAACGAAGCCCTTTACGAAATCAATTCCTTGTTTGTCGACCAATCAATACAGCAATACACGACTGCAAAGAACAATGCAAAATGCAAGAGGCAGGAACTTACAGCTGTATCGGCTGAGGTTTGGTCATCATCGCAACCACTTATCGATATAACTTCTCCACCGTTGGATCCTTTCCATACGCCTGATCGAGGACGATGATCCTCCCAAACATACTGTCCACTCCTACATCAAATACTTAAAGATGTTATATTAGACATTTGCAGTATACGGGTGAGGGTGTGTAGAGAACAATGCACGAGAACAAAGTAAACATACTAGGACCTATCCTTGAACTAGTGGACATTAGTTTGGTAGCCAAAAAAAGATAACTTTCACAAATATTTCCTGTTAACAAATAAAAGTCCATTTGACCAAAAAAAACCTTGTCCCTAAAAAATCACTTTTAATCAACTAACCCCCACTATCTTCTTTTCTTTATTCATTTAATCAACCAAACTCTACTATCTTGCTTTCTATATTCACCTTCAATCAACCAAACCACACTTCAATTCATCTTCAATCAATCAAACCCCACTATCTTCTTTTTTATTCACCTTCCTATACAGGTGTGCAAAAGGCAAACTAAACTATTATTTGGGAACGGAAAAGGCAATAAATATGTTACAGAGTAAATAGTTAACCACGATTAAGTTTAATTGCTTTGCCCCTGCCCTCCTCCCTCCAATCTCCTCGCCTGACATAGCCACCACCCTTCTAGCCAGTTAGAACTACCAAAAACCACCTCCAACAGACACTCACAACAGCTGCAGCACCTCCAGACCACCTCCCTTTGGCTTCTTCACTCATGCCATCCCCTCCTGCTCGTCTCTCTTGATATTAAAATCAATGAACTATTAGATTTAAAAGATCAGTGATACTCGGGAATTCAAGCTAATATAATATTTCTTCTGATTTTTGGCTTTTTATTTAATTGAAAGTTCTATCACCAACAAAACAGTATTGTAAGAATGGAAAAACTTAATGATTCACCAATCCATAATAAGTGGGGCGAGCAAAGGTCCCTCAATCTCTATAGTTGCTTCTAATTTTAAAAAATTCTTGTTTTTCCATCAGAGAGCTCCTTGGAATAAAAACAAGACTTGCAAAGCATAATTGCATGATTCCTTAAGAAATGGAACCTTTTATCCGCTTCTAGTGGAAGCAATTGGAGCAAAAAATGGCTTTGCTGATTTATTTTGGGATTGGTTTACATAGAAGGGGGCTTGGACGCTTGGTGGAGATGGCTGCTTTGGGGAGGACAGAGAAGGGGTGGTTGGACGATGGAGAGGGTGGCGGTTTTAAAGGATGGTTAGTTTATATGGGTTAACTTTTAACCAGAAATTTATTTTTTTAAAAAAAAAAGTATAATTAATGCCATACAAGTATACGACACGATAGCTATTAAAAGGCTATTTCGTGATTTTACACTTTTTTTGGCAAACTAAAATACGTACAAAAATAAAGGGGTATCAAAGAGGGGGAAGAAAACTAGCAAATTGAAGAACATGCAAGTAGCATGACCAAGAATTAACACTTCCAACAAACTAACCTGCTCATTCTACAAAGAAATGGTAAATCTAGTACAGTGCCACTATGACAGGCATCTATGATTGCATGAAGCTTCACCCCACGAGGAAGAGGTCTGACGATAGCTGCATTTATTTCATCATCAATAATCATCCCCTGTGTTTCAAAGTCTAAGGGGCATAGAGTTTCATCATATCCATCCACTTCATCCCCATTATAATTCCTCTGTCGTGAACCGTGGCCAGAATAGTGAAAAACCAGAGAGTCCCCGGGCTGACAGCCATTTACCAACCAAAACAATGCCATCCTCATATTTTGTTTGGTAGGAGTTCTGTATGGATCAGTTTCTTCTTCTGCTTTTCGTTGTTCACAAAATAAAATTAATATTCACAACGACAATCGAAGCAACAATATAATGCATTAACAATTTAGAATTTACTATCAATGAAGCTTATCTTCACACAGAACCGCCATTTAAAATAATTACTTGTATGTTTTATTAATTTTACTTAACTTCCACAATGCTAATGTACATGAAATTTTGCAATTAAGAGCATTGAAATTGACTCTCACACGCACTATAACTGAAAGCCTTACAACCACAAGAAAAAAATATTGGATACTGTAATCATGGAACAACATTTTGACTACAGTCACAGTTATGGTATATTGGTAATGGATGCAAAGGTGCAGAAACATATCCCGGATGGTACATGAGAGGTCTCATTCACACAGTCACACCCATCTCACTTCACCAGATGAAGATATTCACCTTTAAAACTTTAAAAATAAGCAGGATAACTTGGGTTTTATCCCTTCAATATCTGGTTTTAAGCGGGAAGTAAATTTCTAGAGTTATGTGAAGCCAAGTTTGACGGGGAGAATTTTCTTTATATGAAATGTGATAATGCCTACTCTGTAATGATTATTCAAGGCTGAAGAAACTATAGTCCACATCTTAATATCTAATTGAAACAAAGGGCATACAAGACTAGAAAGGTTTTTTCGGGCTGGGTCAATCTAGAGAAGACCTCTAAGGCTCTAACACTCAAAGCATGGAGTCCATGTCATAAGGCGGCAAACTAGGAGAGGTCAACCTCAGGACAGCTACTCCAAAAAAATGCAGATATAAGATGCCTTTAATCTACAAGCAGCCGATGAAATATTAATAGTGAACAATCAGTCACGAATAAGTTTATGAAATTCTCAATGATAGGCCTTTATTTTTGTAAATTCATATCATATACATACACAATATTGATTACTATTTGACAGATAGAAAGGATGTATAATAAAGAGGGAACCTTTCAAAAGGTAGGATATGGAACGTCAATAAAAACATGGAGCTAAGTATTACTGGATTCAAAGAAACACCGAGATTCGTCAAAACTCCCTAATAGACATCATTAGTCATAAATGACACCAGGTCTCAATCAGCCTTTAGTTATTCTATTTGGCCACTTTCAATTTTATAAATCATTTTCAGGCCATCAAAGCATAACGGCAAATATATTGGGGAATCAAAGATCAATGGACACAATCACACAAAGTAAACATCGTCTTAACACGACTAATACTAGTGTCAACAAACAAACCCATAATTCTTACTGCAATACTGAGTAAAAATCGTTTCCAAGATCAACCATTCTATATTTGAGATAGCAAATTGTTTAGCTCTAATACAATACCGCCAAATACGATCACTAGGTTGGTTTTGTTGTGATTACCTTATTAGGGCTCCTCTTTCCTTTTCTACACTCAAATTACACTCCATGATAGTCATTCCAAGATTTCCAACCCTCACATAGCTTGATCATTCACGAATTCCGAGAAACAATCCCAACAATAAGCAAGATATAATCTTTCATCATTCAAGCATCATATCATAAGAAAATATTAATAAAAAAAAGAAACACATGCAACCAAATTTGAACCATCTGTCCAAAAAATTGGTACCCTAGGTCATAATGCAGCAAAATTTCTTCTTAATGCATAATTTGCAATCAATTTACCACCTTGAAATTAAATTGATCAAACAAATCATCAAATCAAATCCCAAATAAATAATTAAACATTTAAAAAATAATTAAAAATCAAAAGGTGAGATTAAGAAAATACCAGTAAGCATGATGATGGATTCAGAGGGAAACTGAAACTTATTAATGAGCAAATACCGCATACACTTAGCATCATTAATACACCCTTTAAGCTCATGCCTTGAGAATTTATAAGAAATTCCACAAATAACAGCCTTTTTACGGCCGTGCGGCGATGGAGGAGGGCCCGGAGGCGCGTGAGAGTACGGTGATGGAGGAGTAGGCGCGTGAGAGTGTGGTGAAGGAGCAGGTGGCCCAGCGTGATGAGATGGAGGTGGGGCGACGGCGTGTGGATCAGCGATTTGGGTAATGGCTTGGCAAACAGCACAACGGATGGATCGGGCGCCGGGCGGTAGCTGTAGTGGAGTCCAGCAACCGGAGCAGTTGACTAGCATCATCATTGTGCGTAAAGGGATTAATTTATTTTTTATTTTTATTTTTTTTATGATTAAATTTGATTTTGATTTTTTTTGGGTGTCGTGAGATTTGGGTATAATTATTCTGGGAGAAAAGGTAGTTGACTGAATTTGGGAAAATTGATTATCTGGAAGAAATTGAACTAACTTTTGATTTTTGATGCAATTTTGCCGCGTCTAATTAGAGTTTTCTTTATAAAAAACAAGTAAAATAAATATTTGATTTTTTCACAACTAAAATATAACTAATCTAGCTTTTCCATTTATTAAGTAGATAAATAAGGTGATGGTGATGATGATGATGATAAAATCACTGAATTTAATCTTTATTTTGGTTTTTTTTGATAAAATGTGTTCGCAACAACATTGTACATTTAGACAAAAAGATTGGTGAAATAAAATGCATAGTAAAAAAATTGTTCAAGCAATATCACACATATTCAACTAAAAAACAACATCACATTGCTCGCCCTAGCTAAACTTGGTTTTAAAGGTTTGATACAAATCATATATACTAATTAACTATATATCATACACACAAAATTTAGTATTGTGTAATAATAAACTAGTTTTAATATTCGTAAAACGAGTTTAAATACAAATTTACGATATAACATTAAGTAACAAGCTCTACGAGCAAAATATTAACATTACATAACAGAATAGAGGATAGTTAGTACTACTATAGTATGCTAGTATCACACTACTAAACTCGAGGTTGTACATAGATTAACTAATTAAGAATTGTGTATTTTGTAGATTACATACATGCAATATTTATGTTCTTTTATGTGGTAAGTTTATAACCAGATGAGAACTTTTAAAGCATCATTTAAGAACGTATAGATCAAATTTAAATTGAAAACTTCATAATCCTTGTACATTTAGCAGCTAGTAGCCTTTTAACTAATTGAACTAAATTAAATTTCTAGTTTTTCACCAAGACTTTAATTAGATGGTTTTGACCACCTAATAGCCTTTTTGAGGTCCGTTGAAAAATCAACATATGTGAAGCATCTTGATATCTAACCCTATTGAATCTAAGAATGTTATCAAACGCAATGGTCAATGCTTATGCAACAGTCTAGGTTATAATACACAATTACATATCATTTTTGAGAATTTCGAGATTCAGCATGGAAAATCTAGGTGACGGTGGGGATGCACGCAAGGTTATAACATGGTTAGAACTATGTATGCCCATTAGTTGGTCCTGAGATGACCTAGACTCAATGAAAAGAGGTGTATTTGTAATACGCTTAATTAATAGTTATGAGGTATAGTAATCAGTAAATAGTTTCAAGTGACCTCTTGAGGTCCTTGGAATTACCTTAATCTCAATTATTTTTGAGTTCAAGAAAGCTGAAGATTCTTTAAAATTGAAGGATATATACATGCTTTTAGGTCACCTTTTTTTTTTTCATAACAAGAGGGGATGTAGGAGGTTTCACCCAATGTAATTATATATTGGTTGAAACTATAATGGGCATACCAAAGATCTCTAAAGTTTTGAGAACGAGTTTAGCTCATAACATGACATATTTGAAATTATGTTGCATTAATAGTAAAGAGACATAAGAGATTTTTTTATCACTAACTAGACATCCCGAGGTCACATAAAGATTTTGAAAATCTTTCATTGACTTATCACATATTTGTTCATTTTGGTTGTTTGTATAGGTCTATGTTCATATTGGTTGTCTACGGTGAAAGAAACTAATGATGATAAAAATTGGGCCGGATCGGGCCTATGCATAAATTTTTGTGCCCAAACTGAAAAAATAGTATCTAGTTTATTGAGCAAAACCAAGCTTCCAGATTCCTTTTGAGCTAGTCTCGGATTTTGAATTTGAAATAAAAAAGCACCCGCGTTAATTCTAGGTCGGGTCGGATCAGGCTAGCGGGCCGGGCTGTTGACGCACTACAAAATTTCCATGATTGGGCTACCAAATTAATAAGACAGTGTTAAAAAACAAGGGCCGCTAATTAAGGCCATGACAATACAAAGAAAAAAGCCCAAAGAAGGAAGTGGTGTAAACCCTAGAAGTCCAAGACTGGTAAATAAAGAAGCAGAAGTATAAAACCCTAACTCAACCCTATTCTTATTTTCTCGTCATTTCGGCAGTTGCTTCTTCAGGATTTCATTTTCTCTCTCTTCCGCCGTCGACGTTCTTCGCAATGGTACTCTTCTGCCTCTCTTTCTCCTATCAATCATCGATGAATTTCATTTAATCGACATGTGTTTGATTTAATTAGTTTGATTTTTTGTTGCTTGAAATGTGAAGCAATTGTTAGTAATTAGTTTAGTGTGTATTTTTTAGTTTAATCACTCCAAATCAGTACTAATTTGTGTGCTTTTTGTTTATTTACTATGATGAGAAATTGATTTTTCTATTATTATTATGTCGTTTGGTAGCTTAATTTGTTGGGGTTGATTTCAATTGTTATTAGGGTTTCATTGTAATGAAGAAGGGTTTTCTTCCTGGGTTAATTGTTTGGTCGAATGTGCTTCTTGGAATTTGTATTTTTGTGTATTTCGGTGTCTGAAAAGGAGAATGAAAACATGTTATATAGTTCACATTGGTTGGTTGATCTGTTGCCGGTTTCCGATAATTTACACTTCCTAAGGTGCGCTTGCTGCTTTAATTATTGTGAATGATGAGAGTGAAAACTTACCAATTGATATTGATGTCATGAATGTTTCGGATAGTTTGAGTGTTTGTGGTATGTTATTCGAATAAAAAAATTTACAGGTCAAGTTTCTTTGCATTTTTATATCGTGTCAATTGAATTTGCTTAGCGAATTACTGCTTAAGCTATTGTTTGAGTTTATGATTCCCTAACAAATACTACTGTTTGTTTGCTTGGCAGGCCCCAAAAAAAGGTGGTGCCGTAAAGACTCTTGGAAAGAAGAAGCCTGTAAGTTTGTTCTATATCTAACACTATGTCAGATGATATGAACATGACGAACATGACACTTTATTGGATGATGCTTGTTTTATATTCATATATCGCTATCAATTCATTTGTTTATAGTCATTACTCTTTCTATTGATAGCTAAATTTCGCCGTAGGCTATTGTTGCATAGATGTCTGAATTTGATCATGGTGATCCAAATATGAACATATATTTGTAGTTTTGTTTTGGATATTAATGCCTTGATAACACATTGTTTGTTCGGTGTAATGTAGTACAACTATGTCTGCTTAATGGTCAAATCTTTATTGTTGACATAGATTAGGTCCATAGAGCTATTGAGATGAGTGTACAATCTTTACGGGCAGTTTTCTAATTTTAATAATAATTGCAGGAGAAGACTACAAACCCTTTGTTTGAGAAGCGACCCAAGCAATTTGGAATTGGTGGTGCTCTTCCACCAAAGAAGGATCTCACCAGGTTTATCAAATGGCCCAAAGTTGTTCAACTTCAGAGGAAGCGAAGGATCTTGAAGCAACGTTTGAAGGTTCCTCCAGCTATCAACCAATTCACCAAGGCTCTTGACAAGAACCTTGGTAATCTTCTTACTTTAACTAGAATCATGCAAGCTAAAGTTCTTTGCTAGCAATGTTATGGTGCTATTTCATAAAATCTGACGGGTTCTTTGATGTTGATATGTATGAAGTTTAAAGGTTTTTCCAGTTAAACTGGTGCTTGACTGAGAATTCTCTCTTGCAGCATCAAACCTTTTCAAGTTGCTTCTCAAGTACAGACCTGAGGACAGAGCCGCTAAGAAGGAAAGACTTTTGAAAGCTGCACAAGCAGAAGCTGAGGGAAAGAAGCCCGAGAGCAAGAAACCTGTTGTTGTGAAGTATGGTCTTAACCACATCACATATCTTATTGAGCAGGTAATGTATCTAGATATGAATGACATCGTTGTAATTGTTTCTGTAGTTGTTTCACTGACTTGTATAAACTTCAAAATGATGCTGCAGGGTAAGGCTCAGCTCGTTGTCATTGCCCATGATGTTGACCCAATTGAGCTCGTTGTATGGCTTCCTGCCTTGTGCCGTAAGATGGAGGTTCCATACTGCATTGTTAAGGGAAAGGCTCGTCTTGGAACGGTAATTTATCTGTCATGCTAGCTTACTTTCCTTTTTTGAATATGATTAACCTGACACTAATCCTTCTCCTGAACTTGTATCTTGTGCAGGTTGTTCACAAGAAGACCGCAGCTGCTCTTTGTCTTACTTCTGTGAAGAATGAGGACAAAATGGAGTTCAGCAGGATTGTTGAGGCTGTCAAGGTGATAATTTTGTTCTTATTTTCTATTTAATAGCAACTGCTTAATGTGTCGAATGGATTGAGCTTGATTGCATCTGAGTTCTTGTATATCTATTCTTTATTTTAATAAAAAAGAGCCTCACAATGTGTATTCTCTTGCCCTTGACAGGCCAACTTCAATGACAAGTACGAGGAGCACAGGAAGAAGTGGGGAGGAGGTATCATGGGTTCCAAATCTCAGGCCAAAATGAAGGCAAGGGAGAGAGTCCTGGCCAAGGAAGCTGCCCAGAGGTTGAATTAGATCCAAGAAGTATTTGTGTTGCAGAGGTCTTTTCCCTAGTGTTTTTTCTATTTTATATTTGGTTATATTTACGGCACTTCAGAAATTCAAACTTTAGTCTTTCCGGTTAAAGTACTTGTACTGAGTTTTGGTAGTAGTGGATTTTGAAATTGTCACCTTCAAATATGAAACATTTGTATGGAGGGTGCAATCTTTATTATTTTACCTTCTGAAGTGAATGTGACCCTATATAGTGTAGTGCCAATGCCTTGCAATTTCTTTTTGGAAGTCCACTTAAATTGTTGGGTTAACGAAAATTAAAAGTTTAAAACAATATTTTTAGGTTACGAGCCGTGGGCTGTGTTATGCATGTAGTATCCTTAAGAGTTAAGACCCATGCGAAGGTTCTGGAATGGACAATATACATTATAGTCATTTTACTTTATCAGGCAATAAAATCCTTTTTATTTGGGTTTTTCTATATAGTAACCCTCTAAATTTCACTTTTCTATGTTGTGTCCATTTAGAATTTTTCACACTGTAACCTCAAAATACATTTAGTGCCTATAAAGTAACCTTGCCGTTATGCTGCAGTCAACAAATTTCGATAGTGGGACCTGCTCTTTCTATATAGTAACTCTCTAAATTTCACTTTTCTATGTTGTGTCCATTTAGAACTTTTCACACTGTAATCTCAAAATACATTTAGTGTTTATAAGGTAACCTTGCTGTTATTCTGCCGTTAACAAATGCCGTTAGTGGGACCCGCTCTTCACTTATTAAATTTTTTTTTATCGATTTGCGTGTTATAAATTGTTTCGTTTAAGGCTTAAGGGCTATTTTGGAACTTAAAGGAACCAAATTGAGCTCAGATTTGGGAAAAAAAAATAAAGTAAATGCCCTTTTTGCGTATTAAAAACGTAAACATGCAAATAATAGAGAAATATTTGCTTATGGCCTGGGTTCAAAATTTTTGAAGGTTTCGAACATAAGATAATATAGCTAATCAAATGCACTTGTCATAATTCTCTATTACATTTACAACCGTAGTTTGAGGGGTTTGTTCATGCAAAAAAAAAAAAAAAAAAAAAAAAAAAAAAAAAAAAAACATTTATATAGATATAATTGTTAAGAAAAAAAATGGAAGGATATATATTGTCTTGCTCATAAAATAATAATTGCAAAAAAAAGAAAGTGAAATGCTACTACAAAAAGAATCAAGCCTTAGTCCTCTAAACACAGCCTCATTCCACTCACCACAAAATTAATGAGGGCTAAAAATGAACAACTTGGAAGTTTGATCCCGTGCTGAATGTTATGGAGAAGGCTCTATAATTTAGACTTAATCCACTGCACCATCATTGTTCTTATGTCTTGCAATTGCAGACAAATAGATTTATAAGCTTATATTTTTTAAAAGTGGGGGGACAGCTGTCCCCCCTTGTACCCAACTAGCTCCGCCACTGTTACAAACACCATACGAAGTAGACATTATCATATGTAATAACGAAGTAAACTAGTCTTACAATTCATGAAATGAATTTCAATTGTAATGAGTTTATATACAAAGATTTAGGATAGAACATGAAGTGACAATTTCAATGAGCAAGGCCATCTCGGGAGATTAAGAGGCCCTGTGCTAAGTAGAAAATTTGGGCCCCTACTGTAACATATGTCATTCTCATCTAGTCATTTTAAATACAATGATAATTACTATAGTAGAATAACCAACAAGAAATAATATCAAAAGTAGAGCATCAAAAGGAAAACATTTATAACCTGGATTTTAATTATGGATTGGAGAATCACCAACGACTAAATTAAAGAACTTGTTTGCTTCCAGTAGTATATTTTTCCTCCTTATGCAGTGAATTAAAACAAGGAAAATGCTATACATAGCATTTAGGGCTACATATAAGCATTAAATATACACTGAAAAATCGTATAAAGTTAGAAAATCATAAAAACTTAAAACAAATTTATTGCATGAGAAATAGTAGGAATAGAGAGATTAATTAAAATACTCGTACAAAATTACTACGAGTGGGTTATTTATGCCTATTCGCCTTTGTATACTATCAGAAAAATTGGTTGTTAAACACCATTATTTTGGATAGATTGTTTGAGAATTGACATGTACAGTTTGAAAGATATAGATTATTGGATAGTTATTTCTTACTTGCTAGCTGGGGAAAAAAAAAAAAAAATCTACAAGAAGATGTGAATCACAACTAAGAGGATTAATTGTATTTGGGGGAAAAAGAGAATTAGAAGCAATTAAATCCATGAGAATTAGTAGTACTGCAGCCAGGATTTATGGGAAAACTAACCCCTTTTTTTTTATTATTTATTTATTTTTTATATTTAGGATTTAGTAATCTTTTTTTGGCCCCAAAATATTGGGGCCCCTGTTCTGAGGATCAGAAAGAACCGCCCAAGAGACGGGCCTGTCAATGAGGCAATAACATAGACACATTATTTATGTGATAGCTAGTAGGTTTGTCACTGGATGAGAACTTATAAAGATGTGATTTAATAAAAAAAAATTACAAATCATATCTATACTATATATTAAAAGGTCGTTCTCTCACGTGGCACTCTTCAAAGTATATGCGTTATGTCACAATGCCACGTCACTATCCAAAGTATATGTGCCACGTCAACTCACTACTTCATTTAACAAAATAAAATATGATTTGAGCTAGATTCGAAACCATAACCTCCGATACATAAAGGTAACACATTAACCATCTCAACCAAGTTTTTTTAGTGTTTCAAATTACACATAATATTATATATTCCTTTTTATTTATTAAGTAAATTAGAGGTAATATTATTTATTTATTTTTCACAAGATTAGAATATAAATACATATGAGGTAAAAAAAAAAGTGACACTTGAGATATATAACGCCAGAACCACTACACACGCTTACTATACAAATAGTCGAAAATAATTATTTAATTAAAGAAGTACACAAACTAGCAACCCGGGCCACACACTAATTAAAATTGAAAACCCCATCATCATTGTACATGTAACCCTCCCCTTGTTGTGACATAATCGTTAATATTTTTAACTAGTTAAACATGTTTGAATTTTAATTTCCTGAAGGGAGCAAAGTCATGGACCAAGACGTGAATTAGATGGTTTTTATCACATAAAAGGCATTGTTTATGGGAAGCATAGGAAAAGTGCCTTAATGTTTCACCTTGTCGAGTCTAAGAATGTTTTCTGGAGATTAAATTTAAGGATATAACACAATTTTGGACCATTTCTGACATTGTCAAAAGTTGACATGGATAATACAAGTGATGGTGGGATGCACCTAGAGATTATGTTGCTTGGAACTGTTAGGATTTACAACGATTTCAATCAATAAAACACTTAAACAATTGTGTGGGAACAAATCCTAAAATATATGATTACAATTCCAAATTGTAAATATCAAATACAAAACAAAGTATTACAGTCAAGTATTTGAATTGTCAATGAAATTACTAAAAATTTACAAAGACTACACTAGTGTGAAGAATCAAAGTTGCCTTTCCTCCAAGCCGACTACACCAACCATGAACATGAGAATATCGATGACCACGTAAGTCTCAAACCTTGATACACTGTCAAAGGCGTGTATATACTTTCCTAAAGAGGTTTATTTCCCCACACGGTGCTTGGGTTAAACCGCTTGAGATACAATTGACAGCCAATTTCGTTCTTAGCACTAGAAACGAAATACAATGAACAATTCACAAAGATGGCTAAGTTTCAAGAATATTCCTCACAAAAGTTTGCAAGAAATTTGAGAGAAAATGTGGAGGATACTATTTGGAGACACGAAGAATTTTTTTGTATCTTTTCTTCACGAAACTTTGTCTTTTAATAAAAGACTCAACCGTCAGGAAAAACCGCAAAACAAGGAGGCGTGGCCGCGCCACATTTCAGCGCGGGCACGCCTCCCAAAATCCGCGAGATTCCACAAGAAGGCAGTGAAGGGCGCGGTTTATGCACGACCAGCAGCGCGGGCACTCCACCAAGGCGCGCGGGCGCGCCAACCACACCCTTCCAATTTGCTGATTTCCAGAGAGGTGCGCGGTTTAGGCGCGCTCTCTGCGCGGTCGCGCCTACCTTGCGCGAGCGCTCTTCATGGGCGTGAGCGCGCAACCATCAACACTCTAAATATCCAACAGGAACCATATTGTGCCCACTAGTAGGTTTTAGGATGACCTTAAGTATAACGGGGGACATGTTATGTAATCAGCTTAATTGATGAATATAGGTAAAGTAGGTGGTTTCTACCATCTAAACGATCTCTTAGAATCTCGTAAAGTTATTGGAAATTGCCTCGACCTCCATGATTTCTAAGTCCAAAAAGGTTGAAAAATCTCTAAAATTGAAGGTTATAACAAACGATTTTAGATTAATTTCAATTTTTTTTTTCAAGTTTTTGAAATTAGATTTATTGATGGAAATACTTTGTTTGCTTATTATTGCTCATTTTGGTTGTTTGTATTAGTTAACCTTTGTTTAAGTTGGCTGTTTCCGTTCAAAAAAAAAAAGTTGATTGTTTATAGTGAAACCTGTGTAATATGTCAAGACGTGCATCCAAAACAAAACAAGACTTTATAAAAGCTTATGTTTTCAAGAATAATCATTCTTGATGGAACATTATTCCAGTTATTTTTCCCACCATTCCCTTATATTTCCTCCATTACTGACATTACATGAATAAAATTCCTAATAAAAAAATATTACTACGAGTTTACAACCAATCACCATCATCTCATTGACTCCAACCATCGAACAAAACTTCCCATCTTTATAGTTGGGCAACCAATACAAGAAACGTGGTGCATAAAACAATGGGCCATTCATTAAGCCCACATCACAAAAAAAATAAAAACAGGCCCAAAGAATGAAGTGGTGTAAACCCTAGAAGTCCAACACCCGTAAATAAAGAAGCAGAAGTATAAAACCCTAACGTAACCCTATTCTTTTTTTTCTCGTCACTTCGGCAGTTGCTTCTTCACCATTTCATTTTCTCTCTCTTTCGCCGTCGACATTCTTCGCAATGGTACTCCTCTCAATCTCTCTCTCTTATCAATCATCGATAATAATCCTAGCTTAACTTAATTTATTGTGTATGAATCTGATTTAATCGACGTATTTTCGGTTTAATTAGTTTGTTTTTTTGTTGCTTGAAATGTTAATTGTTAGTAATTTTTAGTTTATTGTGAAATTTGCAGTTTAATCACTCCAAATTAGTACTATTTTTTATGTGCTTTTTGTTTTTTTTTTTTGATCTGATGAGAAGTCGATTTTTCCATTTTAATGCTGATTATTAGCTTAATTTGCTGGATTTTGAGGTTGAAATAAATTGTTATCTAGGGTTTATGAAATATCTCTTTGTAATCTTTAATCTTTGCTGGCTTTTGAGGTTGAAATCAATTGTTATTTAGGGTTTATGAAACATCTGTTTGTAATCTGTAATCTTTGATAGTGAGTTTAGTTCAGTTTATTGGAATTGTTTCCGTCACACTCAGATTTATTAAAATTTGGACAATGTATGATGTTTTTAGCATTTAAAATAATATTGTATGTATCATATTTTTACAAAAAAAAAATTGGGAATTTGCTTCATATACTGGTATTAACCATGAGTGAGTTGAATGGTTGGGACGGTGCATAATGTCAAAACTTGAGGGTGTGAAAGTTGCTTTTTTGGTATGTTTGTTTTAATTGTGGTATTTGTTGTGTTATATATTTGTGTAGAAGAATGTGCGATGTTTATGCTCAGCTTTTGCTTAGCAAGTTTTCACTTTTGCTGGTGTTTATGTAAACAGGCCAAGAGAACCAAGAAGGTTGGTATTGTCGGGAAATACGGTGAGTACCTTCATCTTTGTTTACATGTAATCTTATTGTATTTCAATTGTGTTACATTGCATTTATTGATACTCAAATTATGATCATAATATGATTGATTAAGGAATTACATTGCTGATCACGTCATATTGGAAAGCATTCTTGATGATAGCATAGTATAATTTTTGTTTAGAACAGCTTCCTATGTAATTTGAAGTTCAATACATGTGGCTTAGTGTTTTCTTTTAATTATTTGGTATCAGCCTTGAGCAGTTTTTTTAATTGTTCTGCCGTTATGTCTTGGTCTTTGTTGGGCTTTGTTCATTTTGGGTTAGTAGATTGAAAGTGTATGTATGTGAGTATCACAATTTGATGCTTATCGTTTCATTGTTCATTTTTCAGGAACCCGTTATGGTGCAAGTCTGAGGAAGCAGATTAAGAAGATGGAAGTCAGTCAGCACAGCAAGTACTTCTGCGAGTTCTGCGGAAAGGTAGAGCTACATTTTTATTCTTGTTACTTTCTTCTCTTTCAAATGAATGCCTATGGGGGGTTGTGAATTGTTTTTGATGACTCATCTCAAAACAAATTTGCAGTACGCCGTGAAGAGGAAGGCTGTTGGTATCTGGGGATGCAAGGACTGTGGCAAGGTCAAGGCTGGTGGTGCTTACACTTTGAAGTAAGGATCTTTTTTTTAATTCTATTATATAAGAGGATTTTGTTTTCCATATCTCTAATTCTTTACTGATTTTTTTTTTCCTACTTGAACAGCACCGCCAGTGCAGTGACCGTGAGAAGTACAATCAGGAGGTTGAGGGAGCAGACCGAGAGTTAAATTATTTCTAGTGCCTATATTTGGAAGACTTAGAAATTTTGTATTCGACTGATCATAAGTTTATCTTGGATCACTGTTTTTGAATGTTTTGACAAGTTAGCAGTTAGTGCTAAACCATATCTTGAGTTTTTTGTTAATTCCTTGTGCCTGTTTTACATTGTGTTGGTTTTATCTGCAAGCTAGACGTTTGTCATTACAGTATCTTCTCTGTGGCATTTAGTATTAATGATATCATATTCTAATGCACATAATCTTTTAATTTTTGCTTGTGGTGGCAGTGGTGGGCTTCCAAAACTAGGACGATACTTCTCTGTTATCTTAGAAGTACATTTTTTGCAGTATGTCGCAATAATTTGAGTTAGCTCTTTTTGTGAGGAAATAATTTGAGTTAGCTCTCTTTTTGAGGAAATAATTTGAGTTAGCTCATTACTCATTTGTTCTAGTATTTGGGGCTTTTATTTATTTTCTATTGCAATCAGAATATTGCACGAGGCCATTGGTTAATGTAAGCTAATTATATTCTGAATAAATTACTCTTGAAGATTACGTTCAAGATGTGTACTGATGAACATAATAGCCTACATTTAAAGCAATAAAATAATAATAATAAGGGGTTAATTGTTTATACTAATTACTAACGGACTGCAACAAGGGTAAAGAAAGGTTAACCGGCTGTGGATTTCTAATTGATGTTCATCTAGTTGAGTACATTTTCATTTGTGCATACTCTTCTCGTTTTGCTCCTATAGAGATGAAGGATGGGAAGGAAAAAAAAAAAAGGTTAACTAGGCGTTAGCTGTGAGTGCAAGAATAAGAAAGCTTGGAGATTGATATTGAGGTATTGTTTGGTTGACAAAGGAATTAATTATCAATGGGCATTTGTATTTTATGGAAATTAAAATCCAACATAAAATTTCCTAAGAATTAACTAATTTTTTTTGGTTGTTACATGAAAATTCACAAATCGTGAGAATTCGGTCACTAAGGGGGCCTAGGTAATTAAATTCTCATATTTTGTGGGAATCGGAAATTCCCATGATTTTTCATTTCCCACATTCTCACTTTTTATGATCTACTAAACAAGTTCCTTATTTCCAAACTTATGGGAATTTTCAATTCCACTATTTTTTATGTACAAATACCGAGAGTCTAAGATGAATTTAACATAGCTCGCTCAAGACGGTCTTAAGAAAAAGAAGAGAGGCCTCTCGTCATGAATCTAGCCAATAACAGATATACTTTTTTTAAACGTCAAGAGATTAATGTGCTCATAATAGGTGAAGCTTGGGGAAAAAATCCACCTACACCAGAATGCATAAAAAAAATAAGCACAGTAAACCCTTGTTCATAAATCTCCTTGTTGCAAAAAACTATGATTAACATTATCATTTTATGATCTGAAATATTGACCAAGTACAAAACAAGAGGCAAGGTTGTTACATGAACTTTCTCTAGACTTTTCATTTCAAAGGGAAATTCACATTTGATACAACACTGGCCGGATTAAGGTTTGACCTAAGCACCAGCTCCTATTACACCTGACTACGCATATTTTTCTTTTATACAAAATGAAGCCAGAAAGGGCAAAACTTAACACCCATACCTTCCTCCAATAAACTGAAGAAAGAGGAAGCTAATGGGAAATAACATCAGAGGAATAAGACGACTTTTGTTTCAACTAGAAATGTATTTCTATTTAAGCAATACTCGTTAAAACCCTCTCAAAGTTAAAAAAAAACAACGATGCTAAAGCCGATCACAAAAGTGGAGGATATCGATACAATAATCACTCACTTACTCAGCTGCTATATCTTCATAATAGATGAGTTGAAAATTGATGACAATTTGGCAAATCAATGGTCACACAATTGGAGTAGGGGCTCGGTGGTCATGCTTGGTATCATGATGCATTTGCTTCTGAACAGCTTTAACTGCTGCAACTCTGGCAGCATTGGCTGCCCGGTTAGCAGCAGCGACGGACCTATTTACCCTCTCATCAACCTTGGCAACATCATATGCTTTCTCTGCTGCTCGTCTTGCTTCCTGAACAAATAAAAGTGATGTTACCTTGACTGCAAAGGGTTATGGGAAAGAACCAACACGCAAAACCAAACACTTAAAAAGTTGGAGCTATATCTCAACAAGCATTCCAAAAACAGTGTGATGGATGACAAGGACTTCATTCATACTCTGTACATTGTTAGCTTGTGACATGAAATGTTCTCAGTTTGTCAGGCAAATCCTCTTCGTAACTTATCAAAAGCAGTGAAGTAAAGCAATGAGAACTCAACTTGGTAGAGCATAAAATATTTTGCCCATAAGCAACAATCCTCACCTGCTCAATTTTTTCAAAAGGAGAGCATACAAATGCTATTTAAATTTCTTTTGGGGCCAGGGTCAAGTCATGAAACACACACACACACACACACAACCAGTGCTATTACAATGTGATATATAGCCATGAATAAACCTACAACTAGTATTAAACAAGGACAATGTGAGCAAGATCAAAAAGTTGTTCAGACATCCATGAACATTTACTGCGCCAGACCATCACTCCTCCAGTATATGGAACAAAAGCATTCACCTCAAGTCAAGCAAATATAAACATGTAATCACAAACAAAAATAAAAAGGAAACTAACAAGTTCCTTATATGTAGGCATGTAGCTTACTTGAACAGCATTTAATACTTTGGAATGGTTGACAGCAACGGGAGATACGGGATAGGTTGCGTTTTGTGTGCTTGGGACATCAAGTATCCCATTATGCCAGTGGCCCGCTTGCGTTTCTCCATTCCTAAACGTGTACATCCCAAGACCTTGCCTTCTACCTTCATGCCAGGCTCCTTCATATCGATGACCATTTGCAAACTTATATACTCCAAATCCATGCATTTTGTCTGCAAAGTACTCTCCAGCATATGTGTCCCCATTCCTAAAAATAACCAGAGAATAAATGGTCATATCAAGGTAGAATAAAAAAGAAAGATACGTATTTATCTACTTACCACATCTTAATACATCAATTATCACAACAATAGTCAGTTTGTCACTTTACTAAGACCATAATTACATCCAAACATAATAAAAAAGGTAAAAAAAAAAAAAAAAAAAAAGGTAAACAGAACAGAGTGATCTTTCATAATTCAAAAACCACAATAGGAAGAGGCACTGGTAGAGCAATTGGGAGGGGTGGGGGGGGGTGAAGGGGGTTGAATCACTATTCAACCTCCTTTCATCTACTCTCCAACGAAAAGTGCACCTTTTCTGCTTTTGAAATCACTCACTTAAATTCAAATAAAAGGAAAGGCTATTGGCCAGATTTCCACACAAGTCGATAAATGCAACTACCAAGAGGAAATTTGAGTTATACAACAATAGCTTGTGTAATGTGTATCACTTGCAGATTCATCGTAGTCAATCATATTCGCTATATAGGGGTGAGGTGTGTGGAGCTGATAGGTTGCTGTAAAAAGTAGAGAAGAGAGAAGATATCTTGCAGGAATCTATAGCGTTTAAGTACACTCTTTGCCCCAGTATCAGTGTATCACCACAAAATTACCATACAGGCACGATCAACAGGTTGCAGAATTATTGATCTGGAGGAATGGATACATTCAACACTGAGCTCTCCTCTGCCTCCAAGCCCAATTGAAACATAAAGATAGCTAGTTGCAACGCAACATCATACTACACTACTCTATAGATAATCATCCATCAATACAACAGTCTTATCAGAGATTCAAAGTCAAAGAAAGAAGTGAGCCAACAAAAAATGTAACAACAAAAAAACAACACTTTCACATATAACCTCACTAAAGAGGGCTTGTTGCTTTGACCATGTAGCTAACCACTAAGGAAAAATTAAATAGTAAAAGTAAAATTTTATCAGAAAGCCTAATTATCTAAGAGGTTAGAAGTTCCATCGGATAGAATCTAATTGCTGTTTCTTTTCTTACATCATATATTCCCAAAACTGTGCAGTCAAGTGATGTATAGAAATAGAACTTTCCTATTTTACTCGGCCAAAAGTGTAAAACAGAGCCAACATGAGGGGAAAAAAAAATTTATCCTGGCCCATTATCAAGGAAATAAACATTTCATTTAATAGCTTATTTATGAGTACAACTTATTTATTTAGTTTCTAGAAACTACATCAGGGAACTCACTTCTCAGACTTGCCTACCTTCAAAGGCGGAAAATGTGTATCAATTTAATGTTGAACTTATTTTTTCCTAACACCTGAGATACTGTATCCTTCAAATCAAGTCTTATCCAAAAAAATTTACAATACCAAGGATTGAGTAATACATCGTCAAGCTCTACCCTTGATGGATCCATACTCAAGTACGAGTACATAGTTAAATACAATTACAGAAGATAAATGAAAAGTTGAAGTAAACAGAGATATATGAACAAAGCAACAAATGATTCTGCAATAAAGTTTTACCCCTGTCAAGCACCAACAGTGATAGCAGCTAAAAATACTACGGTGGTACCTATAAAATTCTTTGCACCCAGGGATTAATCGGATATAACAGGGTTTCTACAACATAGGATAATGCAGCACCAAATATAAAACAGCTAACAACAGAGCTACTGTCACTCATACTGGGCCCCATTAAACCCCCTCAAACCAACTCCATTATGTTACATAAATAAATCAGACAAAAAAGGCTGATTAGGTTTTGAGAAACTCTAAATCTTTGGTCAGCAGTGGCCCCACCAAATCCTGACAGACCAACTCCATCATATGATCTTAACCCCCAATACAATTATACGGAGTGTTTAAATTCTATCTAATGACAACATTAGCGCTAAACTACACTTTAATATTCAGTTTTCGTTCTTCTCAAAGGTATTAGCGATTTATTGCACTATAAATGCTTGACGAACCACGACAATTGTCGAGAACCTCAGTTTTGCAACACAACCCTCTATACACCTCAAACACTAAGCTACACCTTGATTACTCAATGTTCATTCTTCTCAGAGACATTGTTGAATTACTGCACTATGAATGCTTCACTAACCACAACAATTGTCGAGATCCTCCGTACTCAAAATATAAGTATAAACAACTATTTAGTTATGACAATGTCTACTAATAAAAGGACACTTATCAATTAACATAACATAATTATCATGTGAAAATTCTCCTATACTGCAGATGAATCACTTTAACGCAATCGAGTAGAAACTTATACTCCATTAAAAAATATCCTATACTTATCAACTAGTATATCACAAGCATTACTGCTCAGTTTAACTATAAAGATATCTACTATCTAGTGAAAGGATCAGTGATATTGACTAAGGATTCTATCACCATGGTTCTAGTGCAATAGGAGTAAAGTGTATAGAAATGCACAGTATATATCCAACGCAACTAAATTGTAAATATTTGACTAAGCATTTAATTTCCAAACAAACAAGATGATTAACTTCAAATTGTATCAATACAGCTATAAGGAAATAATTATGGTGTTCCAAATGTATGCATGTCAACACAAAGCAAAGTTATCCACATCATTAAGGATCATCATAAATGTTGGAACATACCAAAGAAGTATATTATCACCTAAAATTCCAAATATGGGATCATGAGCAACAAATGCCTTTATAAACATGTACCAAACAAGCATGAAATTACCTAATATGAAGCGACAACACAATAGCAATCCCACAATTAATCATATAGCCAAAAAACCATTCATTAATTAGCAAAACTTCTACAAGGATGTCATGAAATTACCTAAAATGGTAGTGCCCGAGCCCATGCTTGACGCCCCACTTAAATTCACCAACATACCGGCTACCATCCTCGCAAGTATGTATCCCACAACCATGGCTCTGTCCATTAGACCACTCACCTGCATACACATCTCCTGTATAAAATCTATACACGCCAAAACCATGTCTAAGACCCTGCCTATACTGTCCTCTATACCGACTCCCTCGAGCCCACGTTTCGACCCCATGTCCATCATACTTCCCATCAATCCAATCCCCCTCATACCTCCCACTCATGTAGTAATAATACACCCCACTACCAGAGCACTTCCCCTTATGGAATTCACCCTCATATACATCTCCATTGCTATAAACTTGAACCCAACATCCTGAATTAACCTTCTTCTCGGCTTTTGACCTAGACCCTATTGACCAAAACACTGGCAAAGGCCGGGAAGCCGCCGAGGCTGAGGCAGATGAAAGCTTAATAGGGAAAGGGAATGAACGATTAAGGAACACCCTAATTGAGGGGAGTCTAGGTAGGGCAAGATTAAGGGAGAACAAAAGAGCAGCAGAAAAAGCAAATGCAGAAAGAAAATCAAGAATAAAAGAGTGACTAGGATGTGATACCAAGAAGTAAAAAAATGGCAAAGCAAGCAAAAGTAGGAGGCGTAGATGAACCCTAAGCCGGCGAAGGTGGCGAAAGCGGCGGATTAACCGAAAAGCAGCCGACTTTGCCGTTGAAACCACCAAAAACAAAGATGGGCACCTTGAATTTACAGAAAATGGTTTGAAATTGGAAGTGGGTGTTGAAGAAAAAGGGTAATTACTAAGAGAAGAAGGTAAAGTAGGGGATTTAACAAGGGAAGGAGTAGGGTTCATCAAAGGGCGTTTATGGGGAGTTGACAAAAGGGGGTTTTTAGGTGTTGTTGCTGAAGATGAAGGAGATGGAATTGACCCAATATTGGGCTCATTCTTCACTAAAATTGGATCCAAAACACCAGAATTTGGAACAATTGAACAAGTTAGAGGTGGGTTTGATTGAAATTCGATAAATTGATGATTATAATTGCTGAAATTTGGGTGTTTTTGTGTGATTAAAGATGGGAAAAAAGATGGTGGACTTGGGTTGAAATCGGAAGAGATGCCACTGCTTTCTTTTCCGATCTGAACTTCAGATTTCTTCTGATGCATTTACATATGGAATCAAACCCAGAAATTTACACAACCCAGAAAAAAATTATTCAAAAAAAAAAAAAAAAAGAAAAAGACTTTCCAAAAACTCTTACTACTACTTACAAAATTCTCTCACTTTTCTTTCTTTTCTTGTAAAATTTACTGTATTATTTATGTTCTTTCTATTTTTTCTTTGAATTTTTTTTTTTTTTTGGGGGATGAAATTTGAAGCTCAGTGATAAGGAGGGTAAAGGGATATGATGCCGTTTTTTTGGGAGAAGAAATACGAGTAATTTTTGCGTTTTCTTCGTTCAGTTCTTCCTAATTTTAGAGAGAGAAAATTAGTGCAATTTTTTTTGGTTTTGAAATCAGAGGTCATGCTCATGTTGGGAAATGATGAATTTTTTCTAGTCTTGTCCTCGGTCTTTTTATCTATTTACTATTTTGCCATCCATCTATTGCTTGAATGACACGTGCCATCATCTTATAAATATTTAAAATTGTTCAAGTTGAATTTGTTGATCCAGTATGCCTGCATTGGTTATCTAGATTGATCATAGTATTTAGTCAAAATATGTACAAATTATTGCTACATTTTTCTATTGTATTTCTTGAATTATAAAATTTATAATGAATGGGTCAATTTGAGGTAAAGTGAATATTCAATTTGTTTTATTAGTGTTTAATATGATATATTAGAATTGGAAGATGAGTAATTCATATGAATACGTCTTATATTGCAAGTTATATATTATACACTCGGAAAAAGTGATTCCAATTCAAGTTGAGCTCACAAATATCTACCCTGATTAATATTAAGGTTAAGCACATAAATAGTAGTGGTATTTGATAATAAATTCCAAATAAAATAAAGACAAAATATGTTGATTAGTTAACAGAGCAATAATTCTAAATGGTATGAAAAGTGTAACTATAGGCCAATTAAGTGAACCCAAGACTAAAACGCAGCAGCCAAGATATTTCTTCGAATGTACCATAATATTACACAACAACTTTTTGGTGTAGCAGGCCACATCGTGTGGCTTACCCGAGTTATTCAGTCAGGGGTTATTCGAGTTATCAGGTTAGGAGTTACTTAAGGGGTTTGGACAAGGGTTACTTGAGGGGTTACTCAGTCAGGGGTTACTCGAGTTACTCAGTCAAGGGTTACTCGAGTTACTCAGTCAAGGGTTACTTGGTTAGGGTTACTCGATCATGGGTTACTCAAGTTACTCGGTCAAGGGTTACTCGAGTTACTCGGTTAGAGGTTATTTAAGGAGTTCGGTTAGGGGTTACTCGAGTAATTCGGTCGGGGATTACTCTGTCAGGGGTTACTTGAGGGGTTACTCGGTCAGAAGTAACTCAAGTAACCCCTGACTGAGTAACTTGAGTAACTCCGGCAACTTGAGTAATCCCTAACCGAGTAACTCGAGTAATCCCTAACCGAGAAACTTGAGTAACCTTTGCCCGAAAAACTCGAATAACTTTTGTCCGAAAAACTCAAGTAACCCCTGCCACAAGGTACAGTAAGGCGCATACAAAAAATTGTGAATATTACGGAGTATTAGAATTACCCTGATATAATTGGCTAATTTTTTTATTTTTTTTTCTTTTTTTTTTAATTTTATTTATTTTTAAAAATGGCTAATTGGCTAATTGCGTGGGTAAGTGATAACCATTGTATGACCTGGAGAGCTCATCTTGTACGAATGTATAATTACTTTATTAGACAACTTTTACAGTATAATTTACGTACTTCATATGTTTATTTCAATTGCATTTTTGTTCTCGGATTATTAATTGAACGAAGAAAAAATAGGTTATGAATGATGGTTAATAAAATATCGTCTAAGACTAGAAATGAAGATTAAGGACGCTATTTGCATTTGTTAGAAGATCAACCAAAACCTTAAGTTGATAAGACCCACGAAGGCCACGAATAGGTTTTATATTTTATCATCCCTAATAAGTTCAGATAAGTAAAAAAAATAAAGTAAATCTAACGCACCTTACAGCTTGATCACCATTCACCAGAACAAGATATTAAAAATTTGGCTATCTGATATAATATTACAGGACTAAATTTATCTATTAGTCCCTCTCTTTCAACTCCATAACTGAAAATACGTCTGAATTAGGACAGTGAAGGGACGGTAAGGTTACGTGTTCTTCACATGTTAGTACTGAAGTCATGGCCTCCAAGTGAGACTTAACAAGTACTAATTATTAATATCATTTGAGCAAAAAATAATCAGTCTAGGAGCGTTCAATTAAACTGTCTGTCTGACTCATTCTCGAGGATGATTATGATTTATGAAACACTCTTACTGAATTAATGACTTGTGCATTGGGAACGATTGCTAATTTTAGACCACAACTGTATAATAAAGAGATACCTAATGGTCTGAAATCAGGACTTGGACAATGCAAGATGTGTAGATGACGCTGCGAGCATACGTTGTCTTGCTCTGAAAGGCTAGACACATTCCATAACAAGCATTCTTCCTTTGACCAACATTCATGGCAATGCAGCTTTTTTAAGTTTCATTTTCGATTCTGAGGTGGTCATTCTTGCAATATGAGCATATGCATCTGAAGCCCTGCGTAAGGTTCATATCAGTTGCATAATGCTGTCACTTGCTCGCTGTTAGTTAACTTCTAGACTCCAAGAACACATTTAGATACACGAATTAGAGCAACCAGACAGCTACTCCATATCTATGGAAACAGATGAACAATTTTCCCTACTTCGGTAAAATTGGCAATTTACGCTGTAGAAATCCATGGTCCCAGTTCCCAAATAAGAATGGATGATGTGATAAAAGGGTAGTAACAAGAAGACAGTTCAGAGACAACCAATGTGAAACTAAGTGATTATCAATAAAACTTAAGAATAAAATTACACGCATACTGTCACTAACAACTTTCGAGGTGGCTTTAGCCATTGTACATGGATCTTCTTCCCTAAAAGTTTGTTTGTGAATTTGTAAAAACCACTGCAGTTTTTACCTGGAAAATTTGAGGCATATGTACTCAAAAAAAGAACAAAAGAGGAACACTGCTAAGCAGTGGTTTTTTCGGCATTGTGAGAGGCAGCATGAAATGCTGACATATCAAGGCTTGTGCACCTTGAAACCGAAAATCCTTGGCACATAACTCCTAGTTGCTTGTGTTGGCTTGAGGTTACCATACGTCATTAGAAAAAGGTGAGGGAATGTAGTCCCAAAGTAAGCACCATCTATATCTTCTCAATGTCAAGGAAACAGCACATAGAGAAATGAAGATCAAACAAGACAAAATGTATGCACATAGTAGTAGAATAATACCAGATTACAAGCCATGAAACCAAAATGGAGCAAATGAATGTCAATTATCTCCTTGCCAGATTACATTGATTTGATTACTTATGATGAAGTGCTAATAGATATATGACATGCAGAGGTAAATGATTTTTATCTCAAGACAAGACAAGAAAAACCTATATGCATCATATTCTGGAGTTTGCCTTCACATTCTCCGAATACCAAAATATCAATACCATTAACTTTGGCCATAAACTTGAAAACACAGATGTACACATACACACATATAATTCAAATCAAAGTCTATAACTGATAAATTGAAGTTAACTTCCAGAAATAAGTTGCAATATATAGAGAGCTTGTCAAGAATAGGATTCAAGTTGTTGATCAGTCCAAATTCCAATCCTGTCAATGTCTGCCAATAAAGTGTGCAAACACTTATAATGAAGCAAGGTACATTCAAATTAGCAGGCACATGATTGTCATATTCTCCGTAACAGAAAGAGGCTAATTAACAAATTAATATACAAACCTAAGTACACTAAACATGCAAACTATTTTATAATTGGAGGTTATGAATTTTGGAAAGAGGCAAAAGAAAAACGATTCACATATGTTTAAAAGACAATATATTAGGTCATTCACTGGCGAGTCACAAAAAAATTATTGGACCCCCCCTCCCCCCTTCCCGAGGTTCCTCCCCCTCAAAAAAGGATATTGGCCATATTTCAAAGAATTAGTAGGACAGAGAACTAGAAAAGTCAAGGCAAGTATCGCACACTAACACAGTCAAATATGACACAGAGAAGACACATATAGATTGCACTCTATTAAGGATACTGCCTTGATATTTGGATCGCGGATAATAGATGTCTGCACATTTTGGACAATAGATCTTCACAGTGCTTGATCGTGGAATGTCGGATTGGCCAACAGGAAGGCAAGGCTGTCCAGAGCAATAAACCCTAGGACAACGCCCAAATTCGTAGTTTTTGTATTTCTCTAGCTGTAGAAGATTGCACAATAATTCACATAAAAAAATTACAAAAGTATCCTTCAAAAGGAAGATAATGGTAGTGGAGCAACCTAACAGAGAAGAAAAAAACTTACCATAGCAGCCATTCCTTTAGTAGTCAAGATGTATCGGACATGAATAAGGCCATAAAGCATTTCTGCTGCAGATTCTATCAACTCATTCTGTTCCTCCGTAAACATATCACCTAGAAGATGTCATAGTGACACTGATCAAGATCAGGAGCAAATCACAGAGGAGCCAAATTGAGCTTAATATAGCATCCTTCAGACTAGACACATAAAGTCACGGACAGAACTCATGCAGTGTATTTGACTCTAAAAAGTGGCAGAGCTAAGACATATAATTGTCTCTAAATGATGGCTTTCATCAAAGAAGTACAAATCGTGATAATCCTCCCCCCCCCCCCCCTCATAATAACAGGCAAGTAAGTGGCCTGAGAAAAGGGATTTAAAAACTATGGGAAAAGGGGTGCGGTACTGCAGTATGTAAAGTGTTCCAGGACAAAGGTCTACCTAGAAATATAGTCCTAAACAATTGCTACACATGTATCCCAAAAAAAAAAATAATAATAATAAAAACCATTCCCACGCATATCTAAATTCACTTTCTTAGCATAAAGTTGACAGAAAAGTTTTAGTGGCGCAGTGGTGCAACCTCACCAAGAATGACTTTCCTAGTTCCTTGCATCACATTATCATTGATTGACAACACATTTTCTTGTAGAAGAAATCTCATAATAACAATATTTGCTGCATGTTCTGTGCAGTGAGATAGGTCCAGGATGACCAGGAAGGCAGGCCACCACCTAGTGATAAATTTTATTTTGGGCTGCTTGACACATTGTGGTCACTAAACCCAAGTGAATATATTTCTAAAATCACGGGGGAGAGTAGCAAGTTATAAAGACAAATAACTGAAATAAATCACCTCTTCCAAAAAAGAAAAGAACAAAAAAATGAAAGATGCGTCTTGAGTTTAATTTTGCTACTACTCAAATTCTCATGCTTAAACAGATGGCTTTTATGTCTCCGGAAAGTATCTACTAAGGAAAAATAATTACTAACCAAGGCATGCATATAAGCAAAAAAGATTTACATCAATAGAATTATAAAACAGTGTTCCTTATTTCTAAGGCAAGAACTATTCTTTTAGGCAAGTGAGTAGAGACCAAGTTGTTTGGAGATATCATAAAAGACATGTAGCAAGCA